TGGGACTTGATTGGGTGGGGGCTTGGCTGTGTTCTGATTGGGTGGGGGTGTGTTCTCATTGGTAGGGGGTTTGGCTGTGTTCTGATTGGTTGGGGGGTTAGCCGTGTTCTGATTGGTTGGAGGCGTGTTCTGTTCAGGTGGGGGCTTGGTTGTGCTCAGGTTAGTTTTAGTTGCTGGGGGATTTGAGCTGGTGAGTTGTGATCTTGCTGTTTGGCTTCTAGTACGTGGTCCTGCTGCATCTTCATAGTGGGTGTCGGTTTGCTTCATGTATGGCTCAGAGGGGTTTACATTACATTACTCTGAGAAGCACAGAGCCGGAGACAGAAGCCTGAAGATGATGAATGAGACTTCATCGAAACGTTGCCTAGATACTTTGAATCTTACGTGGGAGAAAACCCGAACAACCAAAGATATATATATATATATATATCCCATGCAGAATCTTGTCTTTATATATATATAAAAGGAAGTTATACAGAACTCTGTAACATGTACCAAGAGTCTCTGATGCCTTCCCCTTATAATTTCAGGAGCCTATCTTCATGATTCAGAAGTTGTTGTTTCCTGAATTGTAACAATTCAACATTTCATTGCCATAGAAATATAACAAAGTTTTGAAGCAAAAAAAGGGATCACATCTTGAATGGACAAAGCTCTTGCTAAAATTATACCAAGCTAAACAATGGTAATGTAACAAGTGCCTGTATAGAATTTTTGAGAACTTAGATTCTCGGATCATGTTCAAGTTGCTTGGAAATTTCCTACTTAGAAAACATTTAGCTGTAAACTAGTTCAGATTAGGCACAGTGAGGGAGTAGGCCTCATCTCAAAGGTTGCAGTTTCCTTTTGCCTAGTGCTAGACATTCACATATTAGAGATATCTGAATTTTGCAACTGTATATATGTAAACTGATACAAACAAGTTTAGTTTCCAGAAAAACTAGTACATAGGATTACTATAGGAGCTTGATAATGCTGAGTTCCATAGATAAGCCCATGCTTCACACATAGACAACATACTAGGTCTGAGAGAACTGTATGATGTGGTGGAGATGGGGCCTACAATACTGCATTAATTGCGTAAAGGTCTAAAAAAATATAATTGATTTTAATAAATTTTATAAATCTGAATCTAGTTTCATCCTATTTACCCACGTTACCTGAATTGTCTCTTCCAGCCTATAAGACTCCAGGCACTTCAAAGTCTCTAAGACCTGGTCAGCATCATACCGACATAGTAAATCAATAAACTGTTCAGTAATAGAGGGAGAAAGCTGAAGCAAATCTTGATTGATACCTTCCCTGGAATAACAAATATTTCTTAATATTAGTTACTAACATATCCTAAACACTTCAGATGATACAGACGTCATATATTGTGATAAAATACAAAGCTACCATATTGAAAATATTCATATACAGAGAAAGTATTTATTAGAATTCATAGAATATAGAGTGTCCATAATTTTTAAAATGAGAACTCTATGGAAAATATATATAAAATTGCTTTCTCACCCCTATGGGTGGTATTTTCCTCATGGGTGTCTTCCTCATTCTCTGTCAAATACCACAGGTTCTGTGTAGTATTTCATTTTTTTCTGGCTCTTTTCTATCTCTGCACTCTTTTGGACAGAGAGCTTTCCTGGGATCTGTTGGAGCTACTCTCCCAGTTTAGGAATCATAGCTTTGAGAGCTGCTACAGCTACTGGGACCTCTTTGGTCTTTCTTTCCATATCCACTCTAGTTCTACCTTTAGGCCTGGTACTTATATAGTTTCCCTCCTGATACTGCTGGTACTACTACATGTCATTACTGCTGGTCCTTGTCTACTACCATGAAATATCTGTCTCCCCATTTGGAACTGAAAGCCCCACAAGATCTTAGTTTTATTATTCTCTATGATCTTCTGTGGACTCCCCCATCTGGACTTGGAAGGGTTTATCCCATACACTTACAGATGTTTCTATACACAATGCCAGACATTTGGTTATACCATTCAGTATATGCTGTTCCTGCCTGCATTGTATATCTGCTACTGAAGCACTGAGCATAGCAGCACAAGAAGCAGGGGTCTACCACACTTTGTGTTGGGCTGTTTCCAAGGCCTCTCTGCATAGTTTGCACTCTAGATCCTGTCTGGTATGGTAAATCTCTGCTTCTATAGATGTGGCGCTTAGTGCCTATTCTTGTGCTGTTAGTGCTTCAGTGCTGGCTTTTAGTCCAGCCCCTTCCAAACATTGGAAGGATTTCCCAGTGGCAGACACCTCAGTTATCTGTCAAGGGTACATCCCATGCAGAATCTTGTCTTGCTAGGGCACTTCCTCTGCTTGATCTTCATCTTACATCTGCTGTTCTCCCAGGCATTCTTTCAATACTTATATTTGGGTCCTGTCTTATTGATGTACGCCTGAATGCTCTGAGGACAATGGCTTTGACACTCATCAGACCCTGCCTGCTCTCTCTCTGGATGGTGTATAGCCTCTGGTTATAAATGTTGGACTCAAGATGGAAGCCTCCATACATTGTGAGGAGCTTCCAGGTCTTCACATTGGTAGCCTCCCTGTCCTCCTTTGACCAGCTCACTATACTGTGCAGGTATCTGATGACTGCATAGAATGACTGGCTTCTACTGATTTCTCTAAAACTGTGAGAAACCAAAGAATTCGGATTGTTAAATGATACACAAAAAAGAAAAAAAAGACAGGCAAAGAATAAGAAATTGAAGCAAATTGTGACTTAATTGTAATTTTGTTCAGGCAAACATAATTAGCTATATTTTAACAAAGTGAGGAAGTAACATAGATTGATTTTTAAGTTACTATAGACTTCACCAATTTGACATCTTCCAGATACATTATAATTACAATACCTAAATTCCTAGCAAGAGACATTCTCTGCTATTGTTTGAGAAAAACTTAATAATGCAGATATTAAGAACAGAAGATATTCCCAAGCAAAAATCCACCTTCTTTTCAATGTATACATTATTTTATTAAAACAGATTTTATTCTAACAGCCTGTAGTCTTTGTAGCAGAGAATCTAATGACAGTAAAAAAAATCCTCTTGTGATGTAAATATATTGAAAGGAATGGAATTAGAAGGAGATTAGGTTGCAAGATTTAATTTAACTGAGAATCTGTTTTAAACTAGACATAAATTGGAATGGGCAAGGGAGAAATGTGGATCTGTAGGGTTGCTTTGGTATATAAAGAAAGCCAAGAACATTTTTGCCCATGACTGAATGAGTGCTTATACAATGTCTTATAAGAATCTCTCACACTATTTAGGATCCCTGTAACAAAGAGTATCAGTATGAGATCCAGCAGCATCCCTGACATACAAATGGCTTTATGAAATGCTTTCTGTTACTTTTCAATTTTTTTATAGTGCCTTGTATGTTAAAATCAAGTTTCTCTGCTAAGTGAGATGAAACTAACTCTCACAAGAAAAGTCAACTGATTTCACTATTAAAGTGGGTCCAAGAATCAGAGAAACTGGATGGTAGATCTGTTTAAAGATTCCTTGTAAATGGAATATTAATTAATGACAATCATCATCAGTTACCACAAAAGTCTAATCTATACGATAAAATACCATTTCAAGCCACAAATTTGTTTCTTCACAATAGGATTGTTTAATGAGATTTCAGGAGTTAAAATGCATACATACCTTGGATCAAGGAGACTCTTCAAAAATTGGAAAAGCAAATGTTCATCCTGATAAGAAAAGGTAGGAAAGCAAAGTGAACACAGTGTTTAAGATTCAACTATTCTTAATATTTTAGCATATTTAGTGATTCAGTCTGCTTATGATTTCCCTATAAATTTGGTATACAGGTAATCCTCAATTTACAACAGTTCCTTCAATGACCTTTTGAAGTTACAGCAGCACTGAAAAAAGTGACTTTTGACCATTTTTCACACTTACAACCTTTGAAGCATCCCCACGGTCATGTGATCAAAATTCTGACGCTTGGCAACTGACTCATATTTATGACGGTTGCATTGTTCTGGGGTCACATGAATCACTTTTGGTGACCTTCTGACAAGCAAAGACAATGGGGAAGCCAGATTCAATTAACAACCATATTACTAATAAATACAGTGGTTCATTTAACAAGAAAGGTCATAAGAAAGAAATCTAACAAGGGCAAAACTCACTTAACAAATGTTCTACTTTACAACAGAAATTTTGGGCTCCATTGTGGTTGTAAGTTGAGGATTGCCTGTACTTGATCTATTATAAATACGAATGACATTCAGCAGTTACAGAACAAAGTATTCCAAAGCATTAAATCCATTTAATATTCACTGGCTAAAGATAATAACATGTCTAGATTCAAAAACAGCTGCTTCTACAAGCACATTACATTATTCAACATCATCAAGCTATTTTAAATTGGTACAAACAGCAGGCATTCAAATATATGGCAGCATAACTCAGGCTTCCTATTACAGCCACTGTCTGTCACAGAACACCTGAATACTGCTGGGAATTCTGGAATATATGCAGGAATATCTTCTCAACTGATGTTCAACCTCGCACTCTTGTGTCTTCTACAATGTGTTTAATCTTCCCGAAAGATTACATTATGTATCGAAAGAAACCAGACCCATTTTAATGCAACTTGTTTGCTACTGCCAATGTTCTCACTGGGAGGAACACCAATAAGCTTCCATCTATCAGTTCATTAAAAAAACATTCTTTTTAATAACATCAAAGGCAGACTTCTTTTAAATATCTTCCTTCCAAATACAAAATATTGTGGTTGAGTATGAAATTTTTAAGAAAGCAGCATAATCTTAGATACTGATAATTTTGCAAAATTTGATTTCTTATCCTTTGTGACAACTCTCCTCAGAAACTATGTTTATTAATAGCAATAGCACTTACTTATATACCGCTTTATAGTGTTTTACAGCCCTCCCTAAGCGGTTTACAGAGTCAGCATATTGCCCCCAACAATTTGGGTTCTCATTTTACCCACCTCGGAAGGATGGAAGGCTGAGTCAACCTTGAGCTGGCGGGATTTGAACTGCCAAATTGTAGGCAGCTGGTTGCAGAAGTAGCTTGCAGTACTAACCCTATGTAGTGCCCAGTTGACTGAGCAATCTGTATTATTTTAACTTATCCTTGAATTCTATTATTTCACTATGTTGTTTACATGTTCTCTCTTGCAATGATTGCTATGTTTGGTGTCACAGATGTTTGGGTTTGGTCTGTGGCATGTCTCGTGACTTCTTGTTCTTTTATTGTCCCAAAGGTGCTTTTTTCCCCCTAGGAGGCAACTGGACTTTCTTGTTTTTTCTTTTGAAGATGTTTCACTTCTCATCCAAGAAGCTTCTTCAGCTCTGACAGGATAGTAGAGAATGGAAGGATTTATATTCCTTGCAAAATAAACAAACTGGTGGAATTCATCTTGGTTTAGTTTGACCAGGAATGAATTTTGATTGCTGAAAATCAGTAGCATTACAAAAACACAGAAAAGGATGAGTGGGAAAAACAAACAAGGGATTTTAATTCCTCTGACATATTTGCAAACAAATTATTGCAACTTCTTTAAAAGAGCTGTAGAAATATTTTGATAGGCAATCTGCTTGATTTTAACAGAAATAGATGGATCTGGATTTGTTGAAACTGGCACAGTAAATCAAGATTTAAAAACCTGACCTTTGGTAAGTGATGCAGATTTCATAGAACAGGAATTTGTATAGAAATAGATAAATCTAAGAATTGTTAATGAATTAATTAGCTATATTTTCATGGCTAAACGTTTCTTGTTACACAACAAATCTAAGAGGAAATCAGAAGGATAGTTATAAAAAGAAATCTAAATAACAGTATTACTCTTAATAACGATGTACCCAATAGCTTTTGTATATAGATATGGATGTGTACATTATAATGACAGCATGGATGAGTTCTTATGAAAAAGTTTTTTAATACAACACCATCTTCTATTTATTGTTACAAATAAGCTACTATTTTAAAATATAGACAATGTATTTTTGCATTCTGAAATGCAAAGAAAAGAAGCCATAAGACTGGATGAGATTTGGCATATGACAATATGTTTCCTAGGTTGTTAACAATTTTTCTTTAAAATGGGAAATGTACCTTTAATATTATTTAAATGCATAATTTATGCTGTTAAAAATTCTGAGCATTTTCCAGGCTTGTCCTGCTGCAATTTAAAACACACACACACACACACACACACACAGAGAGAGAGAGAGAGAAATCTAAAGTTGAAAAAAAATCAGGAAGGAACATTTAGCAAGTTCCAAGGGAAGTAAAAAGATCAATACACAAGACGTAAATATCATTTGAAGTTAGCTTCAAACACATTTCTCCTAAAGGCATTTCATGATGCTATAGATTTTAGCAATATTGTACTACATCTGAGCTCATTTTATGAACTGCTCTGTAAGTGTTTTATGGAATGGAAGGAGCTGAAATTACGGTTAATACAGAAGCAAGGGGAACAAATCTTGTCAACTAGCCAATAAAAAGACTTAGGATTCCCTGCTTTTCTTTAGAATGAAAAGAGAAGGAGGCAGAGACAGAAATGTGAAACTGGTTGGAATATGGTGAGCAGGTTATTTAATGCTATATTTGTATCAGATTGTTGCCTCAAAAGACCTAGTAACTACGAGAGGGATCTCGGAGTCCTAGTGGACAATCACTTAAATATGAGCCAGCAGTGTGCTCAGATACCATAAAAGCCAGCACAGTCCTAGACTGCAACAATATAGAGGTAGAATCAAGATCAGGTGAAGTGTTAGTACCACTTTATAATTCCTTGGTAAGAACACACTTGGAACTACAGTTTTGGTTCCCATAATATAAAAAAGATGTTGAGACTCTAGAAAGAGTGCACAAAAGAGCAGCCAAGATGATTAGGGGACTGGAGGTTAAAATTTATGAAGAATGGTTGTAGGGATTAGGTATGCCTAGTTTAATAAAAGGAAGGATTATGGGTAATATGATCACATTAATCCAATATCTCAGGGGCTGCCACAAAGAAGAGGGGGTCAACCTATTCTCCAGAGCACCTGAAGGGAGGACAAGAAGTAATGGATGGAAACTAATCAAGGAGAGGAGCAACCTAGAACTATGGAGAAATTTCCTCACAGTTAGGACGATTAATCGGTAGAACAACTTTTCTCCAGAAGTTTTGGATGCTCCCATATTGGAGGTTTGAAATGTCTGAAATAGGGTGTAGGGTTTCCTGCTTGAGCAGAGGGACTAAAAGACTTTCAAGGTCCCTTCTAACTCTATTGTTCTGTTAAGACTGCTTTCTTTCCTATCTTATTTTACTTAAGTCTCATTTTTCTATCCTCGCAGGCACTTAGGTCAGCTAATAAAAATTTAAAAATAGAATGCAATTTTTTAAAAAATTCTAAAATAAACTAGCCATTAAAAGTCTGGCAGAAAAGTTACATTTTCAGAGATTTGCCACTTGTAAAGAAATGGTTTTTGAAGTATGTGAGTGCAGAATACAAGCGTATAGTGCAACTGTATTATAGTTACTGTATGTTTTATATGTCACCTTTATTATTTTTACAAATAACTCAAGGTAGTTAACATATTCAACACACTTTCCTCCTCTTTCAGAGGCATTAACTCCAAGTAAATATGATAGAAACTTGGGTTCAAATTTTGAACATACATTCTAGTAAAATGCACACCCAATTAACCATTTTTTAACTACAACAGAAGTGGGAAAGAAATCAGCAGCAAACTATATTGTGATAAGGGACAAAAATATTATTTTGTAAGAAAAATTACACTTTTCTCCTAAAAATTCTGCTTCTTTCTAATTTACCAGTTTTTGATGCCAAAATAACAAAAGTATATCAGTTATTACATTTGTATGTGTGCGTATGTACATATGACAGTGGAGAGGGAAATGTACTTTAAATCAGTCAATTTCCACCTTTGAATTATAGTTACAAAATGGTTTGAAAAATGATCTATTTTTTGTAAGCAAAGCTCATTGTTTTCTGTGGGATCTTGTATTGCTTTACTCAGAGACATAGTATGTTGATTTAAAAAAGAACAGTGAAATTAGTTCATAATATTTCTAACCCATGGGTATCAAAGGTGATTAGAATCAGTATCTAGGATATACAATTAAGCTTTCATTTTAAAAAGCTGGCAACAATATTTCACTTGGAGTTTCTACTGAAAGAATATCAAAGTCAAGGTGGAAAGCACAGCAGTATATAGAATTTAAGATCTTGTATGCCTTAATTCAGGAATACTTTCATCATGGCGCATCTCTACCAAGTATTTGGGAAAACTGTGCTTGTTGACTGGACATATATCATCCCTTTTTTAATTCAGAAAAAAAATTCTCTAGTTTTACTTATTATAAGTAATTGTACACATCTAGACTTTTGAAAGATAGGCTCTTCTACGTTTAGGAAAATGAAGTAATATTTTTTGTGATAAAGCACTACACATCAATTTAGTTGCTTAATAAATCTTTACCTGTAGAATCTGAATTATTTGTTCAATCTCATTACTGAAATGAATAGAAATAAGATCTGCTGTTTTAAAAGGACTCACTGATGTCAGCTCCTAAGCAAAAGAAAAAAAGACTTTACAGATCCACGAATTTCAGGATTAAATACATGAAATTTTAATTCTGTTTGCAATATTTCAGAATTTACTCTGAATTCTATTCCAAATGTTTCTTTCTTGTTATATTAGTAAGGTAAGGATATAAAGGACATTTCTGTTATTATGTTTCTTTTTCTTCACTGAAGAATAAATGTTGCCTGAGAATACCAAATTCTCTATTCTGAATTTTTCATAAGTGTCTTGTTGGCTTCTATGTACATTCAAGCAGTTTCTTCTAGCTTTATACAAAATAAGTATTCAGTAGGAAAGTGTTTTCAGAACCCATCGATTTTACTACAATTAACTAGCTTTCATATGCATTTTTATATTACATTTCAATTAAAGACCACAGTCCAATTAAGATTAAAACACTGGGTGCATAATTGGTTAGTATTGCTATTTTATGCATATTTCCATAAAAAATTATATTGGAAGTATACTGGAAAACCATTGTCAAGGGTGACATTTTAACACTTTACTAATTTACAGAACCAATTTTTAAGCATATATCTGCAATCTGTATATATAGTTTCTATCCAATTAATGTGGCTAATAAATAGTAATACATGCTTCCATATTTACTGCATAAAATAAAAATGATTACATGCATAATAATTAGGCAAACCAAGAAATCTCAGGTCTGTTTTCATATTTTCAAGTGTCCTAGAGGCTAAAAAGGAATTAGAATTTTCCTTCTCTGCCACATTCATACATCCTATTTACTGCTAATGCTTTCCTCTAGCTGTAGTCAACTGAGTCTATTTATTAGTTTTTTCTCCTATTATAACTCCCAAGTTGGAAAAGTCATATTACAGTTTTTAGAACAACCGTTATCACTCCTTATTATGTTTCTACATACTAACTTTAGGTTTTATTTTTTGGATCACTGTGTAGCATGATTGTTCAGGAGCATCCATATGCCAAACCTGGAGTCTGTATGTATGTAGCAGGGCTGCAATGGTGTTCCAGACTCGTGAGACTTTCAGTTTGAACCAACACTTTGAAGTCATCATCCTTCCTTATCCAGCATGATCTGTTCAATGTATGAAAGGCTTTCTTCTTTAGAAAACATACCACTAGGGAAATGGAAAACTATGGATCTTATAATCCTTGAGGACTATAGGTGGAGATAGTCCTTGAGCTATGACAACAACTGGGACAAGAATTTGTATTGCGGTCATAAAGCACAATATCACATGACTGCGTCGCTTATCAATACCAATTCCTGCAGCCCATGTTGCCGTTGCTAAGCAAGGAACGGGGGTCATCCAGTGAACATCTCCTCACAACTTCTCATCAGCTTTCAACAAACTGAATCAACAGAATGTTGCTAGTCCCAAAGGCTTGCAAGCAGGCCAAGCAATGCTGCTGGATGGGAGAGGGAGCCAAGGGTGTGTGGGTGACCAAGAAAGCACAGAGCAAGCACAATGAGGCTTGGGTAGCTGCTGCTGGATGGGAGAGGAGGTCTGAGTGGTGGCATGTCATGAGTATGGCAGCAGTTGGGTAGCTGCTGCTGGGTGGAAGAGACTGTGTGAAGGTGTGCGAATGGCAGGGGAGGTACAGCACAAGTGCAGCAAGCCTTGGGGAGTGACGGAGTAATGTGCTGTGAGCACAGTGGAACTTGGGTAGCAACTGCTAGGTGGAAGAGGGTATGTGAATGATAGAGGAGATGGAGCACTTAGCATAGTTTGGGGTGGCTGCTCCTGGGTGAGTGAAGATGTGTGAGGGTACTCAAGTGGCAAGGGAGGTACAACGTGAATACAGCAAGGCATGTGGAGTGGCTGGTGCAGCAAGGGAGGGTATCTAAGGAGTGGCAGCAGAGGCATAGTGCAAGTGCAGAGAAGCTGGTAAGGGTGACTTGCAACCTTCCCTGCTGGTTTTCCCACTGACTTTGCTTATTAGAAGCTGGCAGTGAAGTTCACAAATTCTGATGGGGTGACCTTGAGATTCTGCAACTGTCATGTGAGCTGGTTGCCAAGCAGCCAGATAATAACCATGTGATTGCAAGGGTGCTGGAACAGTCAGAGCTTTGAAGACCAGTTGAAACCACCACTCATTCAATGTCTTCGTAATAACCCTTAATGGTGGATATTGAGGAAACTTTCAGAGAATAAAAACAACAGAGAAAGGGGAACCAGGGCTTTTTACGGTGAATCTTGAAATTCCATTAAGAATAGTCTTGTTCATCTGTGGATATTTGATCACAAATGCTTTTAAACTATTCTGCATAGTGACTGATCCGAAGAACCAAACTGTCTAATTAACTTTGTCAGTTAATGCATGAAGTTTTTTATCCTCAAAAGTAATTATTCTTAATCAGATCAATTCCATTTAGAGACAAAATTAATTTAAATATTAGAAATATGGTCTTATTCTGTTTTCATTTATATTATTAGGATCAGCAATATTACTATATATAGAATTTAAGATGTATAATCACTTTATTTAAGACATACCTCAATATGTTTCATAGTTTTCTGCCACACAGATTGCTTTTCTTCTGTACTATACCCAGGAATGGAAAGAATATTGTGGATATAGGAGAAAACTTCTTCCTTTAAGATATATATAGAAATGGTTACAAAAAAGAAAAATACATAACAGAAACATTTTTTCAAATTAAATGATTGATCCTCATATATTACATGCTAAATCATGGCATGAAAATGTATCATTAGTAAAGGAACAAGGCACTGAAAATGTATCGTTTATTTTAGTATTTGCCACTATTGTATTTTAGCATATTTCTATTAAAAAAACTATTTTAAAAAGAAAGTTAATCTAACCCCCCCAAACATACAGAAAAGCTGCTGAAAAATGAAATAATGTCATCTGAATTTTCTTCTATAGCTTGTACCATGTCATTACCTTTCTCAAGGGATCATGCAAGTAGCAATCAATTATCCTATCATAGCGGTGTTCCCGTTCATATATAAATTCACAGATTTGGTAACTGAAATAAAAGAATTATAGCTAAGTGCTTTTTAGACATAAACATCCTTAAAAAAGAGCAGTTTTATAAAGCATGTCATGTTTTTCCTGTCTTAATATTTGATATTAATAACATACTGCTATTAATATACTGCTATTGATATTAATAATATACTGTTATTAATATACTGTTTATTAAACATGAGCGAACCAGTTTGGTGTAGTGGTTAAGGTACTAGGCTATAAACTGGAGACCATGAATTCTAGTCCCACTTTAGGCACAGGCAGCTGGGTAACCTTGGGCCATTCCTCTCTCCCACAGCCCTAGGGAAAAAAGCCACTTCAGAAAAACCTTGCCAAGAAAACTTATCCAGGCAGTAACCAGAAGTCAATACTGACATGAAGGCACAAGTGATATTATAACAAACTAATAAATAGATTACCTTGAGCTGTATCCGCAATTTTTAATGTCATACTTGATAAACATATCTCCTGTCATTTTTTTAATCAAAAAATTATCTTATAAAAAACCAAAGCCTTCTAAATCAGTGACATCTAACATGACAGTGAAAGGGGAGGAAGGGAGTCACATGTGTTTCCTTTACCTAATCTAAGATGCTTCATATATGGGGTTGCTGTTCATATCTTCACTTTTTTTTTAACTTCAGTATCTGTTCTATCTGCTTTTTTTGCTGGAAATATCAGTTAATTGTCTTTGTGATGTGAAGGAGCTTAGTTATGTAACACTTGAGAAAATTAAAGAGAGTTCAACTAGCACTAGAATTTTATTACATGAATTACATACATGCAATATTTACATTCTTTCTTTTTTAATTTAAAATTAACAACCCTCAAGCCAGGCATACTTAAAGTAACACTAATACCAAAACTATAAAAAAAGGAAGGAGACAAGCTTGATCCAAAGAGAACAACAACAAATGTTTTATATTAGCAACTCAAATCCCTGCTAAAGACATGAGTGCATACAATTTTTTGCATTGTTTGCTTAACCAAAACAGGAATTAATAGAATTTAAATGAATCTCAGATCATAATGGTGGTCACAGTACTGCAGGATTAAAAATAGTTTCAAAGGGTCCAGAAATTGTCTCTCATCGCTATGCCTCTCTACCTCTGCATTTAACAACTGGAATTTCTATTTCCAAACAGTGGAGGAGGATCAAATATTAATTTGCTTTTTTAAAAAACAGTAAATTTTGGAAGAACTTTCACTTTAATCTGACAATATTCTGTATTTGATAAAATGCACATGCTTTCCTAGTGACTCTGTAATGCTATCTGATAATGTAATCAGTATCTTCAGAACTGCCAATTTCTAGTGGATTCTTCCTCTCATTAACATCTAAAAGATGATGTCCCTGTGGGAGCTGGCTTTCACTGCTGCAGCTTCCTGTCTCTGATATACATCTTCCCAGCGATCATGCTATCCTTTCCTTTGGGTTTCCTTTCTGTAAAGCCATTAAAACTTGGCAGTTTCAGTATGTGGATGAAGTGGATCATTATTTTAGGGAAGATAATGTTTGGTTAAGTATTCTGACTGGCGCTAAAAGTTTGATGGGGGGATCACTTTTTATGATTATTGTACAATTTTTAACCTATTACTGAATGAATTATACAAACTGCTCAGTGAGCTATGAATAGAAGTAAGCCTTGTAAAATAATACAGGACAAATAGATTTATAAATAATCATTCTTCCTATTTTGTTTTCCTGACTTGAATTGCCTGAAACTCCAAAGCAGAGATTTTGTAAAAGTTTGTTTGCTGTAATCATTGCTTCAGTGAGATTTCATGCTTAGTGTACAGTTTATATTTATTTTGGGGATATATAAAGGTTTAGAAAACTAAACTGTTTATATTAATTTTAAGATAAACTTCCATTAATTTCATTGATAAATTGGCTTATGCAATACAATCAAAATACCATAAATATGATATAAATAACAAGCAAGTTTGGTGTAGTGAATAAGGGGTTGGCCTAGAAACCAGGAAACTGAGTTCTTGTCCTGCCTTAGGCATGAAAGTCAGGTGGGTGATCTTGGGTTAGTTTCTCTCTCACACAATTCAACTCACAGGGTTGTTGTTGTGGGGAAAATAGGAAGAGGAAGGAAAATTAGGTATATTGGCCTCTTTGAGCTATTTATAAAGATATGGCAGAATAAAAATCAAATATATAAAATGTACCATATAAAAATATTAAAACTGATTATAAATAAAATTGTTAAATGGATATAGGTAAAATAACTGTTAGTTTATACAATAAAATATTATGGAAAGGATAATTGGAAAGGCCAATTTCTTTGTGAATATAGAGCTGAAGCCATGTCATTTTCCAGTTTATATTATGCTATTTACTATTGTAAAAAAGCACCTGGATAGGGAGTTAGTCAGACAAACTTGTTCAGATATTTTAATCTCTTACAGCATAAAAGTTGCTATGATTTCCCAGCAGCCTGATAATAGAATCAGACAGTTATAAAAACAAATCTTAAAGCTAACAGACTGAGACTGTTTCAACATCTGGAGAAGTAGGATGTAGGTCAAGTTGTAATCACCAGAAACTTAATCTCATGGTCACAATTTTATACAATATAGTGTGCTAAGTACTGAAGTGCATCTGCAGTGACAAGGCAATGAGGATGAACACAGATTTCACAGCTGAAAGCAGTTGCCAAGCAACCACCTCATGTATTTTTTTCTTCTGGTTCTATTTATCTTCTGCAGATAAAGGATTTCAGCCTCTATTTGGATCAAGTTAAAGAAGCAAAAGATTCCATCCCAATAAAAAGAAAATGAAATTATAAGAAGAAGAATATTGTCAGGCTTCAAAGGTGATATATAATACCATATGATATATGGTAACATCCTCACAGATAATCCTCACAGATATATCTTTTAGAAGGCCAGAGATGCACGATTCTTTTGGTTAAAATGCTGACATAAAAATCAGATAGATCTCAAATCAACGTATTCAACTGTTGATTAATACAATAATATAATTGTAAGCATCCATAAAAAGTGGCTCCAGACATACTTAAAAAGGCAGACATTGATTTATTGACCAGGTCCAAAACATGCTCTCTTAGCCAATTTGAGTGTTACAGGATACCTTCAAGTGACACGATGGCATGACGAGATAAATGGGATTAATATTTTGAGCTTTTTAAGGTGTATAAAAACTGGGAATAGGAGTTGAAGACAATACATCCCATTTCTACCCTTAACTCCTCAAAACTGTGAACATGCCGCCAAGCAGCCTCTAACTTCTATTCTTATTCTCAATTCTCACAAAAAAATATGTCATTTTACTGCCAATGTTTGTGGCACAATCCTGGTCAATGCCCTATTTGGTTTTTAATGTAAAATTTAAGCAACCTAAGTTTATTAACATTAATATTCTGGAGTTCATATAGTTGATATAAAGCTTTTTCTTTTATTTTTAGAGGTTTTAGTTATCTAATTTGTCAAAGCATTAATAGTATCCATTCAGAATAAATATCATTGTACTCAATAATACAATGTATCATTTGTGTTTTAAAATAATATTTGCATCTTACAATAATACAATGATTTTTTTAAAAAAAAATCCTGGATTTATCAGCGTGGTTGTAAAGGAGTAAAACAAATTAGAAAAGGTATACAGAAACTTACAATTCAGCTTTTTCTGCCATTTGAATGAGCCTGTTTTCTTCAAACTGCACTATACCTCCAGCCTGAAGCAATTCTAACAGAACCTATTAGCACAATATAATTATAAATATTGTGTTAAAATCCTTCAGAGACAACATTTATCCTTTGCAATAAAAGATTATGCCTACATATGAAACAAGCATCAGACATCAAGGAGTAAATTATGTTCTTCCAAGCTTTGCTTGTTCATTGCAATATACATATTTACATAAGTAGAGACCTTCTTTCTGACATTAAATTTATTTTTGGAATTTCTTGGTTACTACCTGAGGACAACATATAATTTCCTTGTTCTTAGGTATGTATCTTGCTCAAGACTGAAATCAAGGAGAAGCTATAATTTTGGAGTAGATGATTAAACATGATAATTTTTGTCTCAACCACATTCTGCACTTATAGACTCATCTCATTTCCATACTTTAGCCTTCTAGTCTCTTACACTTGCATGTCTCCCCTTTTTCTTCCTGAACTTCAATTGACTAATAAAATCTAGAAAAAAAGAGTAATCGAGGCCCAATTCACTACTTTTCTGATATAATCCAGCACTGTCATCTCCATTAGAGGGGATTTGGAAAAAATGAAGTGAAAACTGTTATTATATACATAGAAATATACACCTCTTGAAAATGTAATCTACTTTTTCAATCACTCTCTAAGTATTAGCAACCAAACTATGTAAATTATATCAAAATGTAACAACATCAAACTGTTATTCTGGGCTATATTTGATCATATCGAATCTCTGTAGTTTTGATGTGAAGAATCAGAACTGCTACAATTTATGTGATTCTGAAAACTATTAATATGCCCTGATTAAATATATAAACTCTTAGCAATTTTCTAGAAGCTGGTTATTTCTCAGCGTGGAGTTCTAGTTTTAGCATTTCTGCTCTATAGTATGGTCATTTTTAGTAATGATCTTTCTTCCTTAGCCATGAATCATTTTCACAGCATGAATAATATTATCCTAACGATTCATACCTGCTGTCTTTCAGAATGTCGTGAATCATCATCAGGACTGCAGAGAAATTCAAGGACCTGAGCAAAAATGAAAATGTTATTATATACATATTTCTGTTCCATTTCTCAAGCACAGTACTGTGTCATATTTTACAAATTTATCTACTGTAGAATTTCCCACTGAAGAAAAGGACATAGACATCATAACATTTGGGAATATGAGCCCAGCTTCTAAAATACCTTAATGCTGTGAAATGCAAATGCAACATCAAAAACCCAATATAATATGTGTTTACTCCTTTTAAGCATTTCCTACCAGTAGTTTCCCACATATCCTTTCTAAAATCATTGCATTCATATCTTCATAAATTATCTCAAACTTTTTGAAATAGTAGATAGAATAATTACAAACTAGACGGCATCACACTAATGCAATTATTTTATAATTCAACATAGACTTTGCCCATTCTAGAATAAAAATTCCATCCAATTATGGTTATTCATATTACCTGGTCAAATAGCATCCTATTCACAAACAATGTGTTGTTTGGCTTAGCAAGTTGTTGAGCAAGGAAAGTAAAAAGGCATCCAACTTGTGATGGGGTAAAATCAGAATTCTCCACCATAACCTAGAAGGGAGAAAAATAGATACATTTATTAATCATAACAATTTAGGTTACACATATCTTCTCCTGAAATGGAAATAACAACAAAACCCAACACTGTATTTAATAAAGTAGTAGAAAAATAATTTAAAATTTTCAGAACTTAATTACTGTAAACATGTCTTCCCTGACACACTGTCAAAAAATTTAAAGGGAAATTTGAATTCACACAAGGTTTCTAAGACAATGTTCCCCAAGCTTATCGCTGTAAGCAGATATAGCTCCATCACTAAAAGGAAGCAGTGTTTTTCTACCTTCTAGGTCACAGTGACATTGTTCTGAACTTATCAGTGGGATAACACTGGGCATTGCTTGAATGATCTATGAAACAATTCAACCACCATAAATAACTGAAGAGTGGGTAGAGGCAGGCAGGAGATGAAAATGAATAATAGGGGAGGAAATCTCATCTTTTCTCACTAAGGAGCGACGAAGCATTTTATCTTATGGAACACAACATTTCCTCAATTCTTACAACAAATCAACTTTATACCTCATGTTTCTGATACCTATTCCTTTATTATGCAGAATATATTTTGAAATATAATTTCAAAATATATCCTGCATAATACTTATATAAGTAATAATGTTTATAAAATGTAAATAGTGTCAAATATACTTTGCATAATAAAAGAATAAAGAATAATAGGAACAAAAGAATAATAATTATAAATATAAATATATTATGTTGTAGAATTTAATAACATATTTTGTGAAAACCACAATACATCTTTTTTGTACTGTATATTTTAATTTATAATTGATGATAGATTGGCAATATAGATATAATTATGCAGAATGGTCATATAGTTATCATCCATACTCAAAGACACAGTTATTATGGTCAATTTGCATTTTACATGGTAACCAGCATGTTATGGCAAAAACAATACAGTATATATAGATATTAAATAGTTATATCTTGGAAAGAGTAGAAATAATATGAATTTAGGGTAACATGGGATTTGGGGTAACATAAACATAAAGGGGGCAAAGAAGACAGACATGTAGCCTGACCGCCTTCCCCAACATGAGGTCCTCTTCAAAAACTAAGTGTGCGATAGGTGATACTATGTAGGCAGTAGGTCCTAGGCGTGTGGGGTCCCAGAGGATGGGATGACAGGAAAGAGAAGGAGGGCCATTGCAGCATTGCTGTGGGCAGTTGTAAGAGCAAATGACTGCAGGGGAGCTGCAGTAGCCGTAACTTTAAAAAACAGGTCGTAAGCAGTCTTGGGGGGGGGGGGGTGTCTGTCATAACCTTCAGGTGGAATTAACTGACTGATCAGATCACAAAGGCTACCGTTAGAGGTGTAAAATATTTTGACCCAAATTATGCAAAATTGCATTGCATCAGATCTTGTACATCCATTCCCATTGTACTTGATATCAGCTCCTTAAAATGGTCTCACCTTTTCCTGGATTGTGCAAATTCTGAAAAATTATATTTATTAAAATTATATCCCACCTATCATTCTGGAACTCAATGCAACATATAGAGCTCTTCATCTCCCAATTTTTTCCATAGTTTACCATAGTTTACCTATAATTGATATCATGATATGAATTTGAAATCAAGCAGAAAAAGGCATGACTCTTTTAAGGAGATGCCAATTATAATAGTAAGGATCAACAAGATCAGAGGCACCTGATCCAAATATTGTGGATTTATAAGAATAAGGTATTAATGAATGTAGTTTGTTCATGTTTCATCAATCAAAACAATAATTTAATGAAAATAAATAATGAGATAACAACGAATAAATAAGGTGTAGAAAATATTTTACTATATTTACCACTAAAACAAAGGAAATCTACCTTGAGTAATATGTCCACAATTCTCTGTTGGTATTCCACAGCTTGCTTGTCATTCTTAAAATCTTCAAATGTCTTTATCAGAAAAGAATATTGGAAGAGAAAAGCAAAACTTCACATGCAATATTTTTTATATATTCCAACATTCAAAATAAAAACTTGTCTTGAGAAGTTACAATATACTGTTTATAAGTTTTATCAAGAAGCTACAATTATGTCTGAAACAAGGTAATAATGGATGGTCTCCAATTAATTAAGAAAGAATTTATAAGCCAAGCTGAAATTATCGCAGAGACTATTCAGCATTGGAAACTATTAACAGCAATGATTAGCTCTAGTTTTCTCATTTCTCCATTCAATTCAAAGGGTTGCCTACAATGTTATACTAGTCACAATATGCTGGTCAAAACTATTGCAAAGCTGTTCATGAAGAACAAGGGGACCCCCTTGTATAGGTGAGCCTGTCCCCAAGGTAGATATGAAAGACAATATTTTCAAAACCTTTACTGAGGTTGGAAAAGACCGCACATCGGGAGGGGGGGGGAGCACTAATTAAGAAATAATGTAACTATTATGTTATCTTCCCCCTTCCGGGGGGAGGAGAGACAAAGCAAGTCACAGCTGTAAGCAAGGGAGAGCAGGACCCATCCCACTGTGCCCATGCAATGCTACTCATCATGACTCTGCTTCAGATTTCCTTATCTTGTCCCAATTAAGGACCCATATACATTTTGCAAACAGTAATGTTATCTATAGGCCTCTAAGTTCCTTTCAGGAAGGGGAATCATGGTAAAGGACAATACTGACCAGAGGAGAGGAAATCTAACAGAAAATGTGCATTCATGAATGAATTTAGAATATTAACATGAAAGAACAAAAAAAAAATCCTTCTGTTCCATCCCTTCAAGCACTTAAGAGACTCTAAGGATTAAGCCTTAATCATATATCTCCAATTCTTCTTGAATATCAAAAAGAGTAATTAAAAGAACATGACTGTTTCTTTTCTGCTCTTGGATATAGTGATAGCTTACGGACACCAACTGCATTTTATCATGTGTTAAAATCAATCTCTCCAACCTCCAGGTATGATAAAGATGCAAGTCCCAGAATTTTGGTGATGCTGTTTTAATGTGTTCTTCAACCCATATGGAAAACATCCAGATTGGAAAAGGTACATTGTTAGGAACCATGGTGGCGCAGTGGTTTTTCAAGCTAATTCTGCTGACTGCCAGAAATTCAATTGCTTCAATTCTCACTGGCCCAAGGTTGACTCAACTTTCCATCCTTCTGAGGTCAGTAAAATGAGGACCCAGATTGTTGGGGGCAATATGCCAACTATGTAAACTACTTAGAGAGGGCTGTAAAGTACTGTGAATATGTGATATTGCTATTGCTATAATGTTTTTTCTTAATTCAAGCAAGGAATAAAGTAATTCATAACACTGGTAAAATGGTCACCAATATAATAGAACCAATATAACAATGGCAATATGTGAACACACATATTTAACACTATTTGAACAATATTTCTACTAAAATATAAATGAACCACATGCATTCAATATAGGTAAACTGATTAAGTTGAATAAATTTAATGTTTTTATAATGGTTTTCAATACTATAAGAAATTAATGTGACTATAATTTGGGTACAACCTGAAAAGCTTTTCATTAAAATCCACATCTGAGGTTTATGCTGGTATTACTCTATTATTAATGTCCATTGGTAATTTTTAAGTTTATAATTTTTAATACCATAATTAATTTATTTTGAGAATTGTACACGGCCTTGAGATGACTTCTATGATAGGTGTCATAGAAACATTTAAAATTAAATAAATTTTAATAAATAAATAAATCACTGATTCCTGAAGGAAAAAATAATTATAATTACCAACTCAGCACTCTACAGACATGTTGCATTTCTATTCCTAGAATCGTCAGCCCTGCGTAATTAGGCAGATAAAAGTATACCATATACTCCTTCCTTGATAGCCTTTACAACCACAGAAAAGATTACTTCAAAAGTCAGGATATTTTGCTAAGTGGGGCCAGCAATGTACTGGTAGAAAAGGAGAATTCTCCAGAACTATTTATGCATACTACACAAGTGTCCTTGTTACATTTAGAGTAGATTGCTTCTATTCTTCTTAAACCACATCTATTCCATCCTACTCAGCGAAGTTCTAGTTAGGCTGCGTAGCATTTTTGGAAGATACGACGTTTGTGAGAAGGAGTGAGAACCGTGATGAGGAACTTCCGCAAGTCAACTCTATATATCTTATCTGGATCCAACACATATGTTTAAGACAAAGGGTGGCTGTGCTATCACAAGCAACCATCCATTCCCACTTATATTTCCCCCAAAATACTACAAATCACCAAAGAAGAAATAATTTCTCACTATTTTCAGAAGATAAATAAAAAAATAGGTGCACAAGGCATTAAAGTCTCCACTTCACACATGCATAAATCCACTCTAAAAATTAACCACGTATCATTTGGACAACCCTATGATACTATCCCCACCTCAGTCTTAAAAAGTAATAATTGCTTTTTAGTTGTCAAAACATTATCCACCATTGATAATTTACACTTTACAATTAGTGTTTCCACTTACCAGTGCAAGAACATTAAGGAACTCTCGTGTATCAAAGTGCAACAGTGTACGAACGTAGGGATACACTTCTTCATCTGTAGGGGCCTCAGCTGAATGCAGACGGATGAGGAATTCAAAAACCTGCATTGTAAAATGAGTATAGATTTTGCTCAATCTAAATGCCAGAATTAACACAGTTCATATCAGTTCAGGAATTTTTCCCAGGAATTTTCCAACATTAGTAATTTAAAACAAAAGAATAGTCAAGATGTTTTATGGTTACTTGCATTAGTATTCACAATCACTAGTACTTAACTACTTCATATAGGTATTTGAAAGATTATTACCACTGACTTCCTAAACAATGAATTCTGATAAAACACATAACTGCATTTTTCTTTCAGTTTATTTCTCTGGATTAACTACATGAATTAGTTCATTGGGATAAACAAGAAATTAAGATAAATCATGGCTAGCAGCAGGATTTAAAACAGGAAGAAAAAGAAGAATTTGCTGAAATACAGGTCAAACATTACAAAAAGAATATGTCAAGCCTGTAAGAAAAGTTCAACATCATACTCACATTAATTTACCTTTGATGCTCCACTTGTGTTTGATCAAACTTTCACAGCTTGAGACTCGTGCTGTGATAGATCTCCAAAAAGAATATTCCAAGACTCTATTTGATCTACTCTACATGATCAAACCCCCAAGAATTAGGAATTTTCTTCCAGTTGGAACTTATTAAAAAATCACTGGGGACAAAAATAAAAAGGTAGATCCCTCTAAATTTTATAGTGCAAGACCTTGGGTAATAAAGGGCCCATCAATTCACTCCCTGATGCTAACTTACAAATGCTCTGAAATGTATGCTGGAGTTTTTGAGTGAAATTGACAGCACTGTGTTTAACATGACAACACTTCAAAGGGCCTCAAAACAAATTCTCTTATAAGCAGTGGAGAAATGCTGTAGTTTAGAAGCATGGATTGAGAACATCAATTTGTCTCATCTCCGGCTAGATTACCTGGGCTATGCTAAGAACAAAAACCCATTGTGGGCTTGAGACATCCCAACATGGTCCAGTTTATGACTACTGAAAACACAGACTGAAATATCATAGCATTTATGTCAAAGTTTTATTTACGGTAGAGAGTTCCAACTGATTAAATACAAGGTTACATATCAGTTGTACAGTAAGATATAAGGTAGAGGTGTCTTATGTGCACATAAGAATGGACAAGGCTTCAATCACACGATTGCAGCCACCATTTTTAACTTTTTTGACATATCACATGGACATTCCAAGGTATAATATTCTGAAGAGTTCATTCATTCATTCTATTGTGATAGGCAAGTTCAACAACTTGCCCTAGTTAATATGCCATTTAAATATAACTTACAATCTTTCATTTCATATTCACAACCACCTTAGTCTTAGATACATTCTTTCATACATACTCCCTCCTCTACTATACTCAAAATTAACTACCACTCATCTAGATTCATAGATTTATATCTATATATCACATTATCAAGATTGGTTGGGTATACAAAATTACTTGTACAATATGTCCAAACCAACACATCTCTAACATTATTAAAAGAATTACCGTAATTATGCGTTATCCATAAATATATTTTAAAAATGCAATGCTGAAACATTTGCTCACTATTCAATTTATTTTCCAGTGTTTTTTAGTTGTACCAGACACTGCTCTAGCACATTCATTAAACCAAACTTCAATTTTATATTCACACAAAACATTCCAAAATTCAAGGTTAGTATGTTTATTGCAGATATTTTCTTAATAAAGCATTTCCTACATTCATATGCTCTAATAAGTATAAAGAGGATGTTTCTAGTGTTATACTCAATTTCATTTCAAAATTCAAATAATTTTATGCTTGTAATAAAAATATTCTAAATTGTACTTAATACTGATAAATATTTGTAATACTTATCAAAAAGATAGACTGTCAATAATTTTAACTAATACTGTATAAGTAACAAGTAAGTTACAAGTAAGCCTCTGTGGTGCAGTGGTTAGAGTACAATATTGCAAGCTACTTCTGCAGCCAGCTGCCTACAATTTGGCAGTTTGAACCCCCCAGGCTCCAAGTTGACTCATCCTTCCATCCTTCCGAGGTAGGTAAAATGAGGACCCAAATTGTTGGGGGCAATATGCTGACTCTGTAAACCGCTTAGAGAAAGCTATAAAGTGTTATATACGTCTAAGTGCTATTGCTATTGTATCAAAACAATACATTTTAAAATTTACAACAATATAATAAAAAGGGAGAAAACATAATAAAAATATATAAACAGAGTGTTCAGGTGAAACATGAATTTTTAAAAATGTGCTATATCTCTGCTCACGATTTATACTGCTTAACCAGCATTACAGTTTCAGAGCATCTTGCTCATATATGAATACAATTCTAAACATGAAACTACAGATTAGGAGTTAACCTTAGAAGGTTGTTAGTTCTACATGATAATTGGGGCCAAAAAAGAATTCCTCTTAGTGTTAAAGGAGATCTACTGCAAAACTACACCTCTAAGAAAATGTTAATTTCTTATCAAAGATAGCAACTTGCACAATTTTTTTCTCTTCTTAAAGTATATTTTTTTCTGGTAATTTTAAAAGAAGTATTTTTTAAAACTCACCTGGTTTTTAATCAATGGTACCAGGTCTTCAGGAATATTGCCCAATGGGTAAGCTCGGCCTGCCAAACAGCAACTGTAAGGAAATACAGATAATAAGAACTACAACTCTATGTTAAACAACAGTTGGTTTTACTACTTCTCTGGCTATTCATATTTGAAACATTCTTGTTCAGAATTCCAGGCACTCTGATTCTCACAGCTCCCCCCACCCCATTCAATGCTATATTCTTAGTTCACTAAATATAGGCACCCTAACTTAATATACTGAGAGAACTTTGCCAACAAAGGGTTTGTTAAATTGTTTCTACAGATTCTCAGTATCTTTCAGACTGCTAATAGTGTTTATAGCCATAGTATATTATTGGCATGCAAGAACAGTCTGCTATTGGTTTATATAGGTAATCGTTAACATACAACCACAATTGGGAGCAGAATTTCCATTGCCATAGTTGTTAATCACCACAGTTGTTAAGTGAATCATGCAGCTGTTAAGAGAATCTGGGCTTTCCCCATTGTCTTTTTTTGTTTGCTTTGGAAGCTGGCTGGGAAGGTGGTAATGGAAGTCACGTGACCCTGAGACACTGCAAATGTCATAAATACAAGCTGGTTACCAAGTGCTGCATTTTGATCATGTGACTATGGTGATGCTGCAATGGTTATGTGAGGGCCAGTTGTAATTCACTTTTTTCAGTGCCACTGTAACTTTGAATGGTCCCTAAACACATTGGCTTTAAGTCAAGAGTGTAACCACTAGGCACTAGGCTAGAAAGCAAGAGAGTGTGATCTCAAGTTCCGCCTTAGCCATGAAAGCCAGCTGGGTGACCTTGGGCCAGACTTTCTCTCACAGCCCAATTCACCTCACAGGATTGTTGTTCGTGGGAAAATAGGAAGAGGGTGTATTGGATATGTTCGTCCCCTTGAGTTGTTTGTGAAAATTAAATAAAGGCGGGATTCAAATGAATAAATAAAAGTAAACTTTATAATCTCTAGTTTTGCAAAGTAACTTCAGAAGTATATTTTCACACAATTAAAAAACAGGGAAAAATAAGAGAGTCCTTTCTTGAAATAGTTCTTGTTCATGTACCCTTGTTCATGTATTCCTTGCTACCTGCCTACCTATTTATTTTAATATGTAAAATAAATTTCAATGAACAATCTAAATATTACTGGAATTACTTCTTACCATTAGAACATTGACATGCATCCAAACACAAAATCCTTCAGTACAGTAAATATTTTGCCTTTAAGCTACTACTAGATTCATTAAAAATGTTGACAACTTAGCACAGAAAGTAGAAGGGAACAATAGTACTTTGCAAGAAAATCAGCTACTTTACAGATTACTCCTCCACATATCTTACGAATAAAATCAAAGAAACATTTTACAGTTTCAGTGAACAAACTGCAGTTCACTCAAAAGTGTTCATGTACAGAGGCAGTTGGATCACAGCAACAATATTATCAGCTTTGTATGATAATGTATTTTAATTTTAGCTATTTTCTTTAACTTTGAACCCATACAGAATCCCTTATTTTCTCTAATCCTACTATTAGACTAATATATGCAGAGGCTGATTCAGCAGCTTTTACTGATTCATTCATTATTTATTAATGAATTCAATCAATACTTTTAAAGGTTAATAGCAATTGTTAGGATATAAGCAAATTAATAGCGCCATCTGGTGTCTTACCTAGCCTGACTGAGATTTAACCTTTCAACTAAGACCTACGGTATATGGTAAAAATATCATTTCCAGGATTGCATGCTGCAAGCCATCAGAAACACACAAGTATATTCCGTTAGGTTCAGCCAGCAAAGGTACAGAAATGATCAGAAAAAGAAGGAAAGATACTTGGACTGGAACCTCAGTCAGTCTCAGACCCAATCTGCAGTTCTATATGTACTGAGAAACAGGGCAGTAAAAGATGGAGCTCCCACTCGTAGTATACCTGTCACGATATATGATCTTATCAAGCAATCCACTTAATTAATTAAGGCTTACAGGACAATGTTTTTCTATTTCATGTGGCTATATAACATATTTAATTTATGCTGTTGAAAAAAGCATACCTTATATAGACAAGCAGTTTGTTGCCCATAATGACTTGTTCATCTAAAAAACAGCAAAAAAATACATACATAATCTTGAAAACTGAACACATTTACTAAAAGCTCTAATGTATGCAGACTTAATAAAGCTATATACCAAAAGCAAGATCTTATTACCTCTTTAAGCTGATAAATCGAGAGATGTCTGTACTAAATTCAATGTATGCAAATATTAAAATATTCCCAAAAGTTCATGCTGAATACAACTTTCTAAACCTGACTGATAAAGTAAAAAAATAAATTCTACTCTTACATGTAGTAAGTATTATAGCTATTACTGCATAAAAAGACACATTAGTTTGAGTCCTATTGTTTCAAAAACAACTATTATACAAAACAGTCTAATATATCGGCTCATCTACCTCAGCATCTTTTCCAATTAATAACAGTGACCCTCATGAAAAGGATTAGCTTTTGTATGTCTAAGATTAGGCACTCATACAAGACTACGTATAAAAGTCATTTTTTCAGATGTTATTGTTGGGACTATCCAGTGAAGTAGTTCTCACACACAACAAACCAATAATCAATAAATGAAAACTGTCAGGTTGAGAATATACTGAATAAAAAATAGTAATGAGTAGTATTCTACATAAGCATTATTAGAGGAAAAAAGGAATCCACAACAGAAGAAGGACACATTCCACAAAAAGTACTGATATACCTGAGAGAGATTTTCCAGCACTAAGTGGATGAGCAATGGCTTTGAACAATTTCTAAAAAAAAAATTAAAAGGAGAAAAAATTAGCACATCAATAGTTCCTTCTGATTTTGGTTTTTCATTCTTGAAAATTATTACATCCTAAACATTTTCACACATTACCATGTAGAGATATTAGTGGACTTGACAGTAACAGAAAACTTTGCAAAAGAAAAAGAAAAGCCTACAAAGTAACTTAAATGGGTACTATATCAAGGATCCTGTAAGGATGGAAAGAGGTGTTCAAATATGGTAACCTTTTTTAAACAGTTAAAATCATTTTACAGAAGACTCGTTTTTTCCTGCATAAAAAATGTTTTTTTTTTAATAATGCAAGAAAAGAAGAATAGGAGGAGGAATTTAGTCTAGCAAGATTGATGTCAGATTAAACTCAAGAAGAACATGGAACAATTCAGTCAGAGTTCAGTTCTTTATTTGCTTACGCATAGCAGACAGACTTTTGCCAGATTAAACAAGGATATACCCTGGGAGATTCTAAGAAGTGGCTACCCTTGCTCTCCCCCTGCCTTCTATTCAGCTCTACACTGTGCTGTCTCTTGTCACCCTCAGCTTGCTGGAATGTACTCCCTCCTTCCTGGGAAACTGACATTTCTTGTAGTTCATCTCCCCATCTCCTCTTCCATGGACATAATCTCTTAGAATAATTTTGCTATTTTGAGCTCTCAACACTTGCTTATAGTCAAAGGCACAACAATTACTCCTATGATCTCAGCAAGTGACTTTTATTTTTCCCCCAGAAAGTTTTGAAATTGCTCATTTATCCAAACTGAATCTGCTTTAATTGAATTCCTTTAATGGAATATTTATTTGACTATATTTATTTGATTGTCTGTTTCTCTGTTTCTCAAAATCTATAAGCTATTCTAGCTAATTGTATTAGGGAAAAAATTATTAAAAGAATAATCCTAATTCAAAACCATCAATTATCATTCATGATACATCTTCCTACCTCCATCGGAGTAATGTAGTCATTCATTCCACTGTTATAGACATATATCATGGCATCATACAGGTGGTTTTTCCAACACATAAGGACAACCTAGAAGCAAAACAAAGTTGAAGATTTTTAAATGTGCTAAAAACCACATGCAAATTAATCTTAGCAGATACTTCACTTCAAGGTATTACATTTGTTAGCAATATTTATATAGATACAAGAGATAAAAGGCCTTCCTTTGCCCATGGATAGAAAATCCATAGCTTGTGAATTATATCCATTCCTCAAGACTCATCAAAAATATCAGTCTTTTTCAGGAGGCCTTCAACCTAGGACTTCAAACTCTGTATTTTCTCTGAATCCCTTTCCTTAATGGGTTGGATAATCTGCATTCATCAGGTGTGTGTGTGTGTGTGTGTGTGTAAAAGGCCTGGTTTTTATTTATATGAAAACTGGTTATTTCAGTATTTTCTCCAATGCATTCATCAAAGCAGGCCTGAAGAGCAGCTGGCACTATTTGGGACTTTGTTACCCATGTTCTACAAAGTTCAAAGTTTCTATAACTAAGGAATTATTATAAGAATCTTCCTCTTGTTATAATCACAAACCATCCCAAAACATAATTTAGGATTAATCAAGTGACAGATTAAAACACAGCATTTGGTTACCAAATATAGGGGCACCTTGGTACTTACATGGTTCGAAACTCATCAGATTTGAGAGTCAACTATTTTGACACAAATTTTGTCCCGGTACTCAATCATTTTTGATACTCATCACACCTTCTGGAACTAGTTAAAGATGAGTATGAAGGTACCATTGTACGTTATAGCATTAAGGAAAACATACAATACAAACTTTTTGAATATTTCTCTTATTCATCAATAATATGTTATAAGCTACTAAAAATTATCACCTGTTGTATATCAAGGCTGGTAATATCCATATGTACAATGCAGGCTTCCATATTTGCCATTAAATTTTTATCTTGGAAATGAAGCAGCAAATCCTTCATAATCTGAGCTGTGATTCCAACCAATTTATCACTTAAAATGTATGGCTCAAGACATTCTAAAAACACTCCCTTTGCTACAGAATTTTCACTCATCTTGTCATACATTTGACCGAATAATATATCTCTGTGGAAGAAAAGACATGGCAGGTATTTGACAGAGATTATTCTGAATATCTATAGTTTTATGTGAGCTGGATAAATTTTTAGTAATACATCTGTTTAATCATCTGCTATTTTGTTCAAAAAGTATTTCTAAACATAGTACTACTATTCAAAATTATCAGGCAGGACATACACAGATATGGTTACCTTAAAGCTAGCTATAGAACAATTATCCATTAAGATTATGCAAGTCTATTAATAAGGTAGCTTTGGGGCACCACATCCTCTTGGCCTGGCCACTCTAACACCCTCCCTTCCTAGGTTCCATGAAAATACACAGGAGTTTCATAGGAATACTTCAAGTATTGCATGAAGCACTTCTTCAAGTGGTATGGCACAGGTAGATTAGATCTCACTCTTATTAAAACAACCTAGACAAGCACAGACTGCAATCCAGATGCAGTCTACTGGAAAAATTGCCATAATTCATGAGGCATGCTGTTACTTACGTTCGCTGAAGCAGAAGACAATAGTCAACAATGACAGGGACCATAGTCTGCAGAAAAGGAGCATGGAAATTCTAACTATTTGCATATACCAAGGGCCTCTCCTTAGTAGACCAAAAGATTCTTAATGGGAGAGGTGGACTCTTAGATAGTCAAGTCCTATGACTATTTTACCAAATTTAGCCAAATCTTAGATTGTGCTTAATAAGAAAGCAACCAGTACAGATGTTGCAGTACAGTACTGTATTTTACAATTTAGATGCTGTATTTTGCACCAATAGCAACATGGATATTTTTCAAGAACACATTAAATACAGGCTAATTTTTTGATTTCTGTATTGTGTGAATATCACCAATAATTGCCAAATAATAAAATTATAGTAAACTACTTAAGGCTGACAGCCTGAATGGACTGAAAACAGGGCTTCTTGATATGTGTTACCTAGTTATTCCCCATTAAAACATGTAAAGTGATATGGGTATTTCACATTTAGTCACCTCTTAGGCAACATATAGTTATCTTCCCTTTTATCCTCATCTTTTTCTTCAAATTATAGTTAATGTTATGATGTTTCTCTGGAAACTCTTGGCTGTTGCCAGGATTCTTTGCTAATTTTGCTGTATAAGATTAAGACGACACACATCATGCTAGTTTTATTCTTGCCCACTATCAATGTATTTTCCTTCTAGTTCCTCAAGGAATCACATCTGTTTTTACCATCCCCTTTATTCTTTTCTGTTTATTTTACATCTTCCTACAACTATATATACTTACAAAGACTCTTCAATATGAATTTTCCATTTATGTAATAAATTGGATATGAACAGAAATATGTGTTAATATTGGTGCCTAAGACCACAATTCCTTTTTCCTCTTGAAGATAATCAAGAGGAAAGATTATTGCTCCTGCTTCTTTTTAATAACCCCTTTGGTAGTAAGTCTAAAGTAGGATACCTGGAAATGTTGCTCCATAACTTGGATTTTACCCTGCTCGGGACATTTCTTCATAGTTCGATCAGCACAATGAATAAGAATTTCAACCATCTATAAACACGAAAGATTATAGTATGTCTATAGTCCTAATATAATGAGACATGTCTGATTAAGAAAAGTACTACAAAAATATTGGTACAATACTTCTTTGCCCAATAGGCACCTGTATTTTCTATGAGGAAGTTTGCTTCTGGCATATTTTGAAATTATTTCCTAAGGGCTCATTGCAGTGGACTTGAAGCCAAGGCAAGGTAAGGTTCTCCAATTTCCCAGACCTTCTTTGGGCTTAGATATTGCTCCCCAAGAGAAGCAGAATGTTCCCCTTCTTTATTTCTGTTAAAGTGACAAAAGGGTTGCAGACCAATTTTCTGAGTGCAGATGGAGGTCTGGCTGGAATTCCATTCCTACATTCCAGGTCTGGTACTGCAACCTTTCTCTCTCTCTTTCTACTCCAGAGGTCTTAATTAAGAAATGTTGTACTTGCTTATCCTAAAGGATGGGGGCCAAAAATAGCTTAATAATAAAGATTATTCCCCCACCCCCAGAAACCTCTTTTCATAGAGGCTCAAAGGAGCAAAGCAACTCCATCTGTTCTACCAGGAATATAGCAGGAAACAGGAGTACTGAGGAACCCAGTTCTGTGCTTGCACAAGGGCTGGATTCCCTAGTCTGTCCTATTTTTAAGGCATAAGACAACTTGTACATAGTTCATACAGAGCAAAATCAAAGAGCAAAATCCATCTGCCAAAAGCAAATTTTATATTCATTTGGAATTTTTCTTGACTTGGAATTGTTTTAGAAAAAACAGTTTTGAAATCATTTCATTATTTCTATGGAGTCTGAGAGAAATTGTCCCAATCTACTTTCCAGTAATAGAAATGTGAGCAGAATGTGGGCATATTCAGTCATAAAATCATAAATAAACTGCATCACAGTACAGTATCCAGATGCTTCTACAGGAAAACATTTTTATTACAGTTTTTAATTCTGCAGTAATACTGAAGTGGTAAAACTTTTACATTTAATCCAATATTAAATTATTCTAAGTAACTGCATATAGGATTCTTGTAACAACTGTACACTAACATTACCTCAAAGTAAAACAATCCTGAGTTTAAGATAATTAAGAGGAAGATTAAATCAAAAACAGTAAAAAAAATGTGCCCCACATTTCTTCTTTATAATACTATTAGAGTAAAACAATCCTCTCATTTGAAAAGTAAATTATTTGGACTTAGAAGAGTCCTCCTTTCCAGTGCAGGGAACTAGACACCAAGTTCAGAGAGGAGAAATACAGGATTAAACATTCTTGAAGTTCTATTGCCTCAATTTTACCCTCTTTTTACTGTTTAAAAATGTAGAAAATTAATAATCATCTATAATGTGAGTAGTTTGACCTAAATTTTTATTAAAATATTCCTTAAATATCATGTATAAAGATGTAGGTATACAAACAAGGAACAATTATAGGAAACCGAATGGCTAAAAATCAACCTTTTTGCAATGAAATACACACATACATATTTCTTAGAGGGAAAATATATATATATACAAAAGGAATTTAATTCTAAAGCTGAACACAAGTTTAGATTAAACAAAAGAAAAACTCACCCTGTCTGCAACAACAGCCTTCCGTTTTTGTTCATCCCCAGACAAGCCTGTTTCAAAATCAAAAGTCTTTCATTTTCAAACTCAGGGTACACACAGAAACAATTTTCTTATTATCTCCTATAAAGTTTTAAGTATAATAACAAAAGTTTAATGTTTTATAATTTATACAAACTATCCAGGTGTAATTGAATTACTATGGAAGAAATGAATGTATATGCTATTTCTTATGTTTAATGTTTCCAGTCTTATAACCATATTGAACTCAGAAGATGGAATTTTTAATATCATGATAAATGATCAAAGACAGTATAACGTCTATTGACATAATGCATGCTAAATTCAGAAACAGTGGCATACAACTTGAACTTCCCAGTTTTTACAACTTTTACATAAGATAGCAACTGTTTCAATCACCTCTAGCTATTCACATATTGCAACTTATTGTATGTCCTTTCAAAAATGATATGCAAAAGCTTGATTGTCCAAAGCCTTATACAGCCATGGAATGTGACTTCATAGGTAAGATGAGTAAATGGTACAGTACATGAAGTAACAAATGACAGGAAGAAATTATGGCAGCCAAGAACAGAAAAAAAAATGCTGTTACTTGAAGTAAATACACTTACCCACAACAGCTTTGGCTTTCCCTTCATGAAAGGACCATGACAAAGCCAATGCTTCATTAAGACATTCTTGCTTCAGAAGGTGATCGATTCTCTAACATAAAAAGTACAAAAATTACATTAAAAATATAAATAATATTTAATGAGAATATGGATAATATAAACTTAACATAAACTTGTAGCGATCCTGTTGTTGTCTTCAGCATTCTAAAGGCTTGTTCTGAAGAAAACAGTGTTTTCTTTAAAATTCAAATTGAAACCATCTAGTTAATTCTGTTTTAAAAACAATTACTAATCTGGACAGATTTAAATGATAAAACCACATCTTTGTTTTGCTGTTTGTTGGTATTGATTCAAATTAATTAGTTTTAACAATCACTGTTTGATTATAACCCTCATCTAAGGATGGATTATTCTAAAAAAATATTTTCTTCTCAGTCAGACTGAAACTTAATGTTTAAGAACCATTTTAAACTAAAAATAAAATCCAGATGTGCAATACACACATTAAAATAATTATATATGTATTATTTTTCAATCTGAAATAAAATTTACAAGACAAATTCCGAGTGGAATTGACAGATTATCAGTCGCAGATAATGGCTGGCTGGGGAATGCTGGGAGTTGAAGTTCACCTGTTAAAACTGCTAATTTTAAACATAACTTTAAAGTGTTATATTAATAAAAATGATATAGGATACTGGTATCTTTTTCAACAATCTGTACATTTAATCTGAAAATGTTTCTCAAGGACAGCTCTATTCATCAAGCCATGAAAAAAGGTAACTTATTCCTTCTCTCCTCACTTACCTCCCTCCAGGTCCTCAGTGTTAAAACATGAACAGACTGAAAGCAGATGAGGGGAAAACAGGTGAGCAACATATATTTATTTAAGAGTATATTAGCAATAATTATAGCATCTTAAATAGTAAAAGGGTGATGAATCAACTTTTCACACATATGCTAAATAGCTTTCTGCGATTTTGGCTGAGAAATTACTGAAGTTGAAATCAATGTATCTCAAAGGTGTCCGTGTCAAAGAAGACTATGCTGAACTATTTTTCAATTGTTGACAAAAACAATTTTGCTGACAATAATAATCCCCCCAAATAATCATACATTCTTTCTCTTTCCTTATCTACAGCAGCTACAATAAAAAGTTTATCATTATTCATTTTGCTTAATTCAAGCTTGTTGTGTTACCTGAACTGAACAAATTATGTCAAAATCTTCACATATGAAAATGTATTTGAATTAAATTACCTGTTTAAAGGACAGGTGATTTACTGAGCTAATAGGTCTGATAAAGAAGAATAACTTCCATCCTTCTAAGGTCAGTAGAATGAGGACCCAGATTGTTGGGGCAATGTGCTGACTCTGTAAACCACTTAGAGAGGGCTGTAAAGGGCTATAAAGCAGTATATAAATGCTATTGCTATTAACCTGGACAAACTTACCTTTGTACCCAAATAAAAAATCTGACCACCACAGTTGCTGATTGACTGGTAACAAGCCTTCTCACCCACCAGTGCCTAAAAAACACAGAACATTTTATTTAATGCAGGAGTACATAGGTTATGTTGTTATTGGGTAAAAGCCAGATATAATAAATACCCAGTCATTTAAAATGAAGCAAGACAAGTCAAATATTTTAGCAGTTTATCATCAGTGTCTTTGAATTTGCCACTTATAAAATATAGTACATAAAACAAACAAGAGCTTTAACATTAATCTACACACTACACTAGAAAATAGCGACTATACAGTACTGAATTATGCCATAAACATGACAAGAGTCTAGGTTATTTGAGGGCCTGCCTCTCTCTGATCATACAGTATCTACTCATCTCATCAATTCTGGCAGGAGATGTGCGCTCTGGATCTATTGTAGACTGACATCTAGTGCAGCCCAGGAAGACACCCTTTTCTGTTCTGACACCTACCCTTTGGAACGCCATTCCCCAGACATTAGATGTCTAACTTTGAAGGCGCTTTAAATAATTTCATAAGTCTATACTTGAACAGAAAAGGAGGAGGGGGAAACCCTTGTTATCCTCTTAGTAACATGTAGCAGCTGTAAACTGCCTATGTCTTCATTCACTGAAAAACAAAGCTATATTTCAGAAATATAAAGTGAAGTTTGATTTCTTTGGTCAGGTTATACATGTCATATTCCTGCAACTTTATAATTCCAATAAATATTATAGCTACATTAACATCTGAAAATCACTTACAGACTGGATGTTCCCAGCTGCATAGATAACTTTATGCCAATGCAAGCAATAAGGCTCAATAAAACTAGGCTAATCTTTATGGTAAAGGGCTTTTAAAAGTTACGTTTGTCATAATGGATACAATGGCTATACATCAGCAATACATTGTAAAATACTGTATATAAATGCAGCTACCATATAAAATTATATTAAAATCATTTCCTGTACAATGCTTTGAAAGAGTAATGCCTTTATTACTACAACTGGTAATAAGAGTATATTACATAGCAGATATAGCAGCCATGATATAAAGAGAGTAAAAAGAAAAAAGTAAATTATACCTGTAACATTTCAATACAACTCAAATTTCAGAAAATAATATTACAAAAAAAAAGAGAACAGAATAGAATACTACAATAGAATATAATAGAATACTACAGAAATAAAATAGAGCCATACCAGTGCTTGGCTAACATTGCCTCCTGTTGCCAATGATTTGAAGTGGCTGCTATTATATACTAGCTGAACTTCTGATATCTCTGCAGTCTCAAGTTCCTCCTGTGTATGACGATCTATCACATGTAATTTTTCCACACTATCTAGAAGTACAATTGTATGGGAGTTTATCCACTAAAGGAAAGCAAAAACAAGAAATTGGTATTATAGCAGTGATGTCATTGTATATTAAAAAAGTCTTCCAAACCACAGTATTCAAGAAGTTAGCAGTACTATACAATTAGATCTAAAAGTTGCACAGTAATGTCACAACAAACGAGTCAGAAAAACTGCATCAAGAGAATTATAGAAGTAAGACCTCGCCTCCAATACTGTGTGTAGCATTCTAAGCACTGTAAGTTAATGGGGGGGGGATGTTTCAGACAAACTGGAAGGGATGTAAAGAGTGGCAATGAAGATGATCAGGGAACTAACTGGAAGCTAATTCCCATGAGAGAAACCGAGGAAGTTACACTCAGGCTCCAACAAAAATGTAACTAAATATAGATGTATGACTTATCAGCCACCTCAAGTTAAGATCAACATATACAGCATTTAATTCTTGAAAGCTTAAAAATTTACACTCAGTTTTGTGATAAGGCATCCTACTAAAGGTATTGTACTAATATAGGTTCCAAACATTCTTTACAATTGACATAGCAATCTTGCTTATTATTCTTATCAGCTGCCATAGCTATCTTGCTTATTATGTGTATTTTTGCATACTCATATAATTTCATTCTAGACTTTATATGAGTATCTTTTTCTTTTCTATTACTATAATAGAAATTGTTATATTGCTGCCAAGTAGAATTTAGAAACACAGGAAAAATGGCATAAGTGGCAAAAACATATCAAAAATTGCATTTATTTTTTAACAATTATTCAGGAAACAAATAAGAATCCTCAGTGACATCTCAAGTCACTTTAATTTGAGATATACTGTACAGATTTTCTTTCAAGCTAGAAAATACTAGTATTCTCCAACATGACAATTGGAGAATCCATAGCTGGGTTGGCACATGCCATTCTGCCTGGAGTCTGAGTCCATAATTTTAGCCACACCCCTTGTCAACTATCACTTTCTCCAGTTCATGACTCAGTCTTGCCCTACGAGGTTGTGGCTTGATTGGCTCCTCAATCTCTAGACAGAAGTGTGGATTCTTGAGTTGTTCATTCTGTGCTGTCAGGTTAGCTTTTGCAGTGCTTAAAAACGCTGCTGAGGCTTTTTTCCCTTTCCTTTTTGTTGTCCTTAGAGTCCCTGTAGCTTTCCTCCCTTGCAGCTGCTTTCTGTCAGGGAGGGTTTTTTTTCCTCCGCACAGGCGCAGCTTTTTTGATGAGCCGCTAAACAGCTGTTTTTCCGCCTTTTAAACGTTTTTTTCTTTTTTTCAGCTTAGCAGCTGTAGCAGCTTTAGCCTTTTACCTTTTACCTTTGCAGTTTGGCTTTTTAGCACCACTTATGTTAAGGAGGCTAGTCTTTTCTACTTTATAAAATATGAATACTTACTGTAAAATTGATTAAATCATAATGCAAGTGTAGCTGCTTCTGCTTTGTAACATGTATTGCTCCAGATTCATCTCTTTTTACCTAATGGAAAAGTTTATCCCATTATTTTTTGATATCTCCCTTGCAAATAAAGGTTCTTTGGTGTTAATTTTATAACTTACTAACCTTTGCAAGCAATACTTAGAAGTTACAATATATTTGAAGATATCTATACTGTATTTAATACATTTACATAATGGAATAAAAAGACAAATGCAAAATATATATTGTAATGCAAACTTTGAATCATCTAGAAAACAATTGTTCTAGGCATTTTTGGCATGAATATCACAACAATCCCATCTTATGGTTTACAATAACCTTTGTTAATAATAGGATCATTCTAATTTGTAACAAAACTGGCACATATGATCACTCATTTTAAAATACAGCCATTTCCACCTCAAGAGCCAAGCACAAAAATTATTTTCCATTCATTTTAAGGGAAGACATTTACAAAAGCAAATTTCAAACTTTATGGATAGCCTGAGCCTTACCAGAAGGAAATGGACCACATCTCCTCGACAGAAAGCAAGCACTGGATTCACAGATGTTTGGGCAGCAACAAAATACCAGGCAAGCAGTGGAACACTAGATGGTTCCATCTTTAAAAGAAAAAGGGCAGGGGGAAGGGAGCGATCCAATTGTTACCATCACAGAAGAAATAAAAAATGTAAGACCTTCTTAAGAGTAAAATATAAGTGTACAGTATATAATATCTTAGATTTTAACATTCATAAAGATATGGTTAGCAATTTAATATTATTAGCTCAAACACATCAGAAGATGCTCTAATCCCACTGATTTCAATTAATTTAGGTATGTTTAGCAGCACATGATCAGCAAATATACGTGTCCCAAGATAATATTGCGGGATCCAATCTGAGTCGGCGTTAGTGACTGACTCAGACTGGATCTAGGACACGATCAAGATATCTACAGGAGTCTCAGGACAGAACAAACACAAAATGATGTTCATATAAATCAAATAATTAAGATCAGCTTAGAGTACAATATAAACCAAATATACACTAGAAAAAGAATCTTGTAGTGGAAGGATCAGTACAATTGAATATAGACTAATATTCAATGTTTAGAATGTTTAGAAACTTTATGCTCCATTCATTTCCAAGCCTGCAAGTTCTGTTCTTTATATATGGCAATTCTATAATAATATTGTTCTACTAAACCTTCAGAAAGCAGCTAGATTTCAAGCTACTTTTTCCTGAAATAATGATTTCATTTAAGTACTAAAATTCCCTTTTCAGAGGCCCATTTCACTTTCAATATTTTTTTTAAAAGATGGTAGAGGTCTTATCCGAACTTCTAATTAATTGCTATTTTTAAATCATTTTTATTTCACAGTTGCTGAATTTTATTAATGGAAGCTTTCACTCTTTAAATGTTTACAACCCAATTCTTGACTTACAACCCAAAATTTCTGTTGCTGAGACAGTTAAGTGAATTTGCCCCATTTTATGACCTTTCCTGCCGCAGTTGTTAAGTGAATCACTGCAGTTGTTAAGTTAGTAACACAGTTGTTAAGTGAATCTGGTTTCCCCATTGACTTTGCTCATCAGAAGGTTATAAAAGGTGATCACATGACCCAGAGACACTACAACTGTCAAAAATATGAGTCAGTTGTCAAGTGTCTGAATTTTGATCACATGACCACAAGGAAGCTACAATGGTTGTATGTAAAATGGTCATAAGACATTCTTTACAGTGGTGTGATAAGTTTGAAGAGTCACTAAATGAACTGTTGCAAGTCAAGAACTATCAGTACTTGTAACTAAATATTTGTAATTCTTGGGAGAGTAGGAGTATAAATATTTTAAAAGAAGCAAAAAATTAACCGAATTACTCACACGACCATATGGGAATGTCATCCACACTTTCAAAGATGGCTTCAATCCAATCACAAGAATCTGAAGTTAAGAATAGTAATAATAATATAAAAAATCATCCTTAATGTCTGCATTTTACTATCTTTTTCAAATATTCATTTCTAAATGGAGTGAAGGGAGGTTACCTTTGTCAAGGAAGCCATAGCTAGCAGAGAATATTGGGTGATAGGATGGTCTCTCAGCTCAGCCTTTGCATGTAAAGGCTCAATGCAGCAAACCTCTCCCTTCGATCCACTGAACAAACAGCGAGATTCACACGTTCTCACACCCATCACTCTCCTGAATGAAAATGGGACAAATTTAGATACATGTCATGCAGCAACATACTTAAATGTAGCATTTTTTTAAAAAAAATGTATAAGCCACACGATTTAAATAGGGTAGATATGATCCCAGGAGTGATAGGAAAATTGTGTCTGAGTCCTGCAGTTAATATGATAATTTTTCCTCCTGCAGTTACTTTTTATATGGTTCTGATAGCACTACATCTGATCCTATGAACAGTGGTACAGTAGTTAATTATTGAGGAAAAAAGTAATAAAGGAAACATTATTTTGCCAAAGAGTATACAAACTACAATCAAAATTTAAATGTCTATGGAGATTCTCAGTCATCCAGGTCATGGTTGTCCCAAAGGTGCTTTTTCAAAAGGCAACTGGACAGTCAGGTGTGAGACCCAATGGCTAAAGTTGGGTTCTAGGAAGCAGCTGGTTTTGTTGCTCTTGTATCAGCCTTCCTTTTGCACACTGACCTGCCTGCCTGAGATGCTTGGCTGTCATTGGTAATGGAGCCTAATAGTTCTGGAGATTTTAACTTGCCCTTATGTGACATACAAGCTGGAGTGGCTCAGGAGTTGGTGGCTGCCATGGCAACCATGGATCTGAGCCCACTCATAAAGGGCCTGACTCACAGAAGCAAGCACAGATTAGATCTGGGGGGTTTTGTGGGTTTTTTGGTCTTAGGGCAATTGTGACACAATTTGAAGGTGAAAGTCATCAGTCATGGTTATTCTCTGCTTGTGTTTCAGACTGCTTTTCATACAAAGGTACCACTCCCCTCCAGAGATCTATTAGATCAGCCCACCCCAAGACCTGAACATTTCAGAGGAAGCTTTGGGATTTTCCTGAAGGCTTGACAGCCAGTCTGAATGAGACTTTTGATTTCTGCCTAGAAAGGGCTTTTGCAAGTGCCTTGGATCAGAATGCCCCTGTGTAGCTTCTCCCAGTACATCAGTCTCAGGGGCACCAAGAGAATGTCATCTGATGGGACCCAGGAAGAATGCCTTTTCTCTAACCATCTCCAAAGATATTTTGAATTGTCTTAGCCCTTAAGTTAACTTTAAAAATCTGGCTTCTTCCTCGATGTCTAAAATAGATTGAGGTATGTCCACCCAGATTGTATTACATCCATTTGCCATGGAATATATTTGTTCGCTTCTGTTCTGATCATTTTGATTTTTGTTTCACTTTCAAGTACCATGGTTTATGCTGCCAATAGTCACTGTTGAGTTAGATGGCTAAATCTGATAATCAAATAACTAAATAATGTTATAATAAAATCAGATATTCTTACTTGAATGACAGTTCAAATACTGAACCACCACTGTCATTGCAGATTGCGAGAGTTGGATCATCTGTAAACTAAAGAAATTATTATTTTCCTCAATTCTTTATAAAGCCTACATATTTTCTTTTCATTTCTCCTAATGTGACTTTTCCCATATACTAAGCATGAACCTCTTATGCCAACTACAATAATACAATTCATCCTAAAATTAGAACTATATCAGCTGTTATAACTAAACACAATTTATTTTAGTAAAAAATGTCTAATCTCCGTAACCTTTTTAATAGCAATAGCACTTAGACTTATATACCACTTTATAATGCTACATATATAGTTTACAAGACAGAACAATTACCTTAATGTGCAAAATTGCAGTTCCTGGAGGATGTGCATCTATTATTGATCGTAACAATTTTCCACTGGCCAGATCCCACATTGTAATCTATAAGTAAAATATTATTAAATTTCTGTAATACAAATCTTTACTATTAAAATATGAAAACTGTAGGACATCTTCCAAGCCATCTATAGATGAATGAAACTAATGAAACTAAAAATTACTGAATGAAAATCATCCCTTTTATTTCTTTTCAGAGAATTCTAAAATAAAACATATGATAGATACAATAGAAAGAACAATGGGAAGCATTTTTCAAATGTTAATGACAAACTATATATTGAAAACCATCCTTCTCTACAATCAAATTGACTCTGTAATCCTTTGCAATCCCTTTATATGGGACTATATCTGTGTAAATGTACTGCATATAAATTATTCTTACCTGTCCTTTTGCAAAGCCACACAGAAGCCTCGAACAGTCACTGTTGATGCTAAGAGCAGATATAGCCCCATACTGTGCACCAACAGCAGTATTGCCCAGGCAAAGCCGAAGAGCCTGGTTAGGATCTAAACAGAACATAAATTTATTTAACAAGAGGAAAAGAATCATAAACTATGTAATCAATTAACATTTCAAACTGAGAAAAGAGTAAATCCACACAAACTGAATTGGCTCAATTTAAAGACATGCTCATTTGTTCAAATCACAGTTTATTGTTGCAGATTTGAATTCACCAGGAATAACAGCTTGTGCTGTTAAATATAAGCAGGGTACTGGAAAGAATACTGAGAAACTAAGTAGCAGAGTCCCACTGATAACAGGGCTAAGCTCAGATTCTCCATCCAAGGCCACTATATTAAAAATGCTCATAACCACAGAAAATTTTAAAAAATACTAGATTGTGCAGAAATGGATAGGTTGACATTAAAGATAAAAGATAAAGAAGATACAGAATATTTTCAAACATAGGACTTATTTTATCAATGGATGGACAATAGAAGTAGAAATTGGAAAAATACTATTATGTCTTATATTTAATGTATTATATTATATACTATTATGTAAGCAAATTAGCCCAGACGCTGTTCATAAAGCACTTATGTTTGTTAAGGAAATTAGATAAACTTTTTTTAAAATGCTCATAACATAGTTGGTAGAAGGCTTCTGTCTAAACTGCATCTTGAAGAAAGGGAAGAAAGAGAGTCTACCTCGTGAAAACACAAGCTAATTTCACTAACAATAGGCCAGGTTAGAAACAGACATAGGGCCAACCTATGAAGACCTTCCTTCAATCTGTCTTTCATCCTTCGCTCTATTGGTCAAATAGGCTTCTAGGAGCAAAGTGATGAAGCAATCTTCAACATTTCGACAATACACTTTCATAATTTCTCTTTACTTTTCTGGCTTGCATAATCATAGTTTCTAGAGATGTCTAAACTGGGCATGAACTTTAAGGTGAAAGAAGCATTTGCAGAAGGTAAAAAGTGAAAGCAAACATTGTACTCTATTTGCAGTAGTGACAAATATCTGTAGCTTGAGTGTAGGATGAAGGTGAAAGTTCGTTCTCTGAGCTTGTGGGTTGGTTTCCGAAAATTTTGTTACCAGGCTAGGTAAACAGAAGCACATCGACACTGACATCCCCTAAACTCAATTGAAGATGTTACCTAACCTGGTAATGAAATGTTTCGGAAACCTACCCAGAAGCTTAGAGAACGAACCTTCACCTACATTATACACTGTAAAGGTGAAAGTCACCAGCTATAACAAGAATATAATATATAAATCAGTGAGACAGAAAATAATCCTAGCCTTTTAATCAGTGCAGTAATTCAAATACTTTTGAAAAATTCACCTTTTGAAATTAAATTAATTAACAGCTACAGGTCAGAAGCCAATAGTAGATGATCAGCTCTAGACAGTTTTTTGTGAAATTGTTTTTAAATACATTTCAATTGAGAGTAATTTTGGATGACAACTGCTCCAGTCATCCTGTGAGACACACTCAGTGGGGAGACAGATGGGGAGGGAGATGGAGAAGTGACTTGTTTTTCCTGGATCTGCCGCATATTTTTTTACCATATATTGTTCTAATTCTAATGTCTAATCTCTTTCAATCTTAAAGTTACAGTATCTTTCTAAATTTGCCATTGACCTAGAAACCATATTAGATGTATCCAACTTTATCAATGAAATTGCATGAAAGATGAAGTATCAAAAAAAGTTTTAGTAATGTATTATTTATGTGCAACGCTATATACTTTAGACTAAATAAAGATCAGGCATGCATATACAGGTCTTAATACTTAAATCTAAAATGTCACTATCATCAGACAAAAATAAATCCACAGGACACTACAAGCTGATTGAACAGGAGTACTGCAGGTGTTACTTTATAGTCAGCTCCCCTGCAAGTATATAGAACCTCAAATGCAAAGCTAAGTTTTATTTTACTGTAATTACTAATACCAAAATGTAATTAAAAGAATTGAGGGCAATTTACACTGTTAAAAGACAAAACCCTTCAACTATCAGAAATTAAATACACAACATGCAAGTCTTACATGCTCACAACCATCACACAAGACATCAATTTTACTCTATACCTGCTTTATAAAGTATACATCTGCTTTATAAAGTATACTTCAGAACATTTTAGGATTTTCAGAAAAAAGATATAAAATGCTGATATTGACATCTACATCATGGAAGATCTGTGGGTAAGTTACAATGAAAAGGCTACAAAGAACAAATTTATTTTTATTTATAATTCTAGAGCCTCTACAAGAAGTTATTTCCTCAACTTTTGATTCCTTTTAATTTATCTCATTTTTCTTGGTTTAAATTATTGTTCTGTAGTAATAAATCACAGATACAAAGTTGAGAAGGCAAGTAAAAGCAGGAATTCTTACTCCTTCCTTTATGTCCAAGAGGTAATAGCTGCTCCTGAAGCCATAGGAGCTGCTATAGAAAAAATAAATTTCTGTAGAATTGCTTTACTTTAAAAGATCTTGCTTCACTGATTTTGCCTTTTAGATCTGAATCTCAGTAGATGAAGACTGCAGTCGATCAAATGAAACAGACTTCATAGGAAAGAAGAAAATATTTGATTCTCTGAATCAGAAAATGTTAAACGCCTTAGACTTTAGTTATCAATTCTTATGAAAAAAAAAAACAATTATCCAATTTGCAGATTCTGACCAATAATGCACTGCAGGTATTGAAATAATTTCAAAATTATTATTAAGGTATTTAGAACGAAATGAGTACTGTATGCATAAGTAATGGGGCTCATTTGACTGCAATTAATTTTTATTTTCTTTTTTGAAGAGTTTGTTCCTGGATTCCAGGCGTGAAGAAAAGTTTTGATTCAGAGGCTGAAGAAATGTGGATTGAACTGTTTTTTTTCTTCTTAAGATAATACTTTTCATACCTGAGAGGGTGATGGGCCATCATGAGTTTCTGAAATAATATTCCAGGATATTTGTTGTGGCAGACCCTATATACTAAAATGTTTTTTTCCATTTATATACTATAGCTTGATATCTTTTTAAAAACAGATTGCTAAACATTTACTAATGGGTCTGTCACAAACTTTAAATAATACTATTTGCTTTTATAAAAGTGCAATGAACTTTGGATAAATTAGTAGCCAATAAATTAGAAATATAATTTAAAAACTGGATCAAAAAGTGGTAATTTTAGTGGATGCTGAAACACCCTTTAACACAGGTAGTCCTTGACTTACAATAGTTCATTTAATGACTGAAGTTGCATTACTGGAAAAAGTTATTTATGACCATTTTCCACACTTCACCATGGTCATGTGATTAAAATTCAGATGCTTGTCAACCGGCTCGCATTTATGACAGTTGCAGTAACCCCGGGTCATGTAATCACATTTTGTGATTTTCCGACAAAGTCAATGGGGAAGGCAGAGTCACTTAACAACTGTGTTAATTTAACAGCTGCAGTGATTCACTTAACTGTGGCAAGAAAGGTCATAAAATGGGGCAAAATTTGCTTAACTGTCTCGCTTAGCAACAGAAATTTTGTGCTTGACTGAGATCATACATCGAGGATTACTTATATAGAATAGTGCAATGGATTTATTTATTTTTTTATTATTAAATGGATTATGTGGCAGTCCAATCTCACAACCAGTTTATTAGAAGTGAAATTATTTCTTCATTTATCAGAAATCTTCAAAAGATAGCCTTTATTGCCTTATATTTCACTGGCTGCAATTAACCAGTTTGTCGCCTGAGCTTGATGTCATGTGCTGGGATAGAGAAAGACTGGCCTAAAGTCACCCAGCTAGCTTTTCTGCCTAAGGACGGACTAGAACTCACAGTTTTCTGGTTTCTAGTCTGTTGCCTTAATTGCCAAACCAATCTGTCTCTCAGACTGTTAAATTAATTATATATTTCATACAAAAGTATGAATTAAAAGGATATTTCGTATATTTTCTGAGTCCACTAATATATGTATGGAAATCAGTAAAAATGGTATTTTACTTCATTCTTTTTTAAAAAAAACTAAAATTATGATTTCAAATTTGAAAGCTGCAAAACATATTTGAAAGATGCTGGGAGAAAAGTATAATTTGTTTCTTATCTTTATGGAAAAAGTATTTTCCTATAAGAATTCCTGTAAGAATTTGAATTGTTTAAAAATGCAGAACTTAGACAATGGCTTCGCTACCAACTGCTGGAAGAAAAAAAATAGAAGTACACATATATCTATAACATCCCTTTATAGCCTGTTACAGTATCTTAATTTCAGAGCACTACTGTATTGCAGCTTAACTAGTGTAGCCATTCATGCAGATTCCATGCAAAATGCATCATACTATACCTTTGCCTTCTCAGTCCATAAGGAAAAAGGTTGAAAAAGAAATGCCAAAAATAATTATGGGAAAAAAAATAGACAGTAACCATATACTGTTATTTCCAGTAAAATATCTCTAGACACTAACAGATTTGTTGAAAGCCTCTCTGAGGCTTCAATGTGTTTGTAAAACAATGAATGTAAATAATGCATCCCAAACAAGACAGTTTCAAAGTCACTAATGGAAGCAATGGACCAAAGCCACCTCTCATTTCAACATACGCTTATTTTTAATCCTGGTTACCAAGAAATCTTTTAATAAGATATCACTTATATGTAGCATTTTCTATTAAATTCAAGATCCAGATAATTGACCATACTAATTTGTGTGTGGTGGTGGTGGTGGGGGTGTATGTGCTGTTCCCATGACATGATTACCCATAGTTACCTGTACCATACTCAAATGTCTGCAGTTGCATATTTCAATAATAAATTAACCTTAAAGACAGTGCAAACCATACTAAAGACTAAAACAAGGATTTTATTTATGCTTCAGCATGTAAGCAAAACCAGAGTAAGCTTCAAGTATTAGCAATCACTTGTACTTACCAAATATTAAAGCTAGACCATGGGATGTTCCTACCGCTATCAGACTTGATGCTGCCTAAACCAAGCAAAACAATTAGATTGAAAAGCAATATATACTCGATGTAGTTTAAACAATTCATAAATATTAAAAACCATAAGTAGGAACTGATTCTAAAAGCAACAAATCGGGGGGGGGGGGGCTGTGCAGAGGAAAGTAAATATTCAATATCAGCTAAATCAAAGATACTTTATATTAGGCATTCCAAAATAAGAGCCAGTCTGATATCAAACTCAAGGCATGTGGGCTGGATCCATCCCACAGAGTGCTTAGATCTGGCCCATGGGGCCACTCTGGAAACAGCGAAGGACTGGCCCACAGTGTCTCTGCCAGAGAAAATGGAGCTTGGTGGGTTGCAAGTGGTCCTACCAGGCTCCATTTTCGCTGTCAGGGGACTTCAGGAGGCCGCCACAGACAAAAATGGAGCCCATGTTTTCACTGGCAGAGCACTCAGACCATCACAGGTGCCCCCAACACAAGTGACATCAAGTTGCCACCCCCACCCTGGCCACACACACACCAGCCCTGAGGTCAAACACAACCCTGAGGTGGCCCTCAATGAAATTGAGTTTGACACCCCTGGGTTAAGGTGTCAGGCTAGAAACTGGAAGACTGAGTTCCAGTCCTGTCTAATGCAGAAAGCCAGTTTGGTGACCGTGAGCCAGTCACTTTCTCTCAGCTCTGAAGGCAATAGCAAACCACATCTGAAAAATCTTGCCAAGAAAACTGCAGGAACTGATCCAGGCAGTCTCCAAGAAATGATTAATTAAATTTTTTAAATAAATATCAAGCATAAAGAATTCTAAAATTATTTTCCAACTTACAATTGCAGTGGGTAAACCTGCATCCACTTTGGCCTACAACAATAACAAAAAACAGAGTGAGAAGATTAGCAATTGTTTTTAAAATGCAGAATACCTAAAATGATATAACTTTAAACTTGCAGGATCCACTTTGTTTTTTTAATCTGAATGCCCAAATCTATCAACCAGTCTGGAACAAATTATACATATCTGAAGAATCCTGAGACTAGGAAAAAACTGAACAAGTATTGCACATTAAAATAATCCCTCGTACCAGCCTTTTATCTTATCAACTTAAAATAAGGACAATATATTTGAAGCAGTTGTTTAATTAGAAATTTAAAAAAATTAACTATTGAGATATTAATCAACACACCCAAATAATTTTCTGGATTATTCATGGATTAAAGGATTATGAGTCTTATCATGAAAATAAAATATCTTCATATCAAGTAATTTATCTGAGGTTTACCAATCTGCCTTTTCAAATCTACTCTCTCTGATCATATAACTGTTCAATTTTTTTCTTTAGAGTTAAACCTGCAGGATGAACCATCTTCAATGGTTATAGAAGGTTTTATAAGTCAAAAACATTGCTTTAGTAATGTAATTAGCAGGTGGAAGATGCTTAACCAGCCTCTTTTCCAAGAATCATGATCTAATCATAGATATTCTAGACTGAAATAAATTACTGTCCTCCCAATTAAAATAGGTTGCTTCTTTGAACTACACTTTTCAGCTAATCCTCCTTTCCAGTCCCATCAATTTCAGGAGGACAATAGAGTGTGCAGAAGAAATAACTTTATCTGAGCATAGATTACCTAGAATATTGTGTAGCAGTAAAGTATCTCTGCCAAAATTTGTAGGAGTAACTTCTGTTTTGGAAAGCATTCAAACGAAAAATAATGATGTAAATAAACTGCCTTTTATTTTTTATTTTGTAAAGTATTGTTTATTCCATTAATAGTAGCTCAATTTTGCTACAACAGTAAAACTATAAAATAAAAGACTTGCAGTAAAAAGGAAATTATTTTACTCCAAATTAGTGTATTACTGATATTTATTTGCTACAAAGAGCAAGCATAAAGAAAGAGACAAAAAGAACTTACTGCTGCAGATACTATTTGGGTAGAAATACCCTTCAAAAGTGACAGCCGTATAACTGAGCCATGGATGGAGAAAGAATCACGGAGTTTCTTCTTTCTATGTAAACAATAAAATCAGAACAGCATGTTATTTTATTTGCAAATGACATGCTGAAACAACAGAATTTCTGCAATACCTCTGAAATTACATCTACATAATCACAGTGACAAACACGAGGGTGAAAATATTCAGGCACTTCTATATGTGTTTAAAATAATAATTATGATGCAATAGTTGCTCATAATCCTGTCTAGAATCCAAGTCAGTACTCATAATTTCCACAATTCTGATTCTCAAAGTTTCTAACTGAATTGATCTGCAAACAGTTACCTTTTTAGGTGTGATTTATCTCCGCTATCAGAGCTTGCTAATGAAGAAGTATCATATGAATGAGTATCAATGTTATCAATATTCAGAAGTGAAGGATCCTCAAGAACAAATGGCTCTTCTTCATCATCAGTCTGAAATAAATATATAATTTACTTTAAATCTATATCTATACTCCAGCACAGTAGTACTGTCATTTAAGCTAGCATTGATTAGATCAGGTTTGAGAATGTTTGAATATCTCAGGCACACATAAAGCACCTTGCTGAAGACAGGGCATAAATACAGGACTTGCTTATGAAACAGTACATTTCAGGAGGAAAAAAGACAGACAAAAACCATAAATAAATGCAATCCTTATTAAAATAGTGTACATCTTTTAAGGGTCCTGTTTTCATTTGCTAAAATGTCATAGCATTATATTCTAGGCAACAAAAAAGCAGGCATTTGAGAAGCTTGTCTATCTGTTTTCTATTTTTGTAGCAGAAAAAGTGAAAGGGAAATGGATACCACACTGGGCAACTTACTTCATTTAAAATACTTTCTAATGTTGGAGGAGTATCAACTTGAGGAATATCAAATTCTTTGTCATCAATCTAGATGAGGAAATGAAAAAAAAATATTTAAACTTTATTATCAGGATGTAAATTGTCAGCTTTTCTTAACACGATTCATCATACTCCTAATACTGTTCTCATTCTAAAACTGACATTTCTAAAGAAAGCTTTAAAAGACATATAAATAAAAAAAATCTAAGCCAAGGAATGATATAGGCAACTTCTGAATTTTACAGGTAGTCCTCGACTTACGACCAAAATTGAGCCCAGAATTTCTGTGCTAATTGAGATATTTGTTTAGTGAGTTTTGCCTCATTTTACAACTTTTCTTGCCACAATTGTTAAGTTAATCATTACAGCTGTTAAGTAATAGTTCCCCATTGACTTGGTTTATCAGGAGGTCACAAAAGGTGATTACATGGCCCCAGGACACTGCAATTATCATAAACATAAGTCAGTTGCCAAGCGTCTGAATTTTGACCATGTGACCATAGAGATGCCACAATGGTTGTAAGTGTGAAAAACGGTCATAAGTCACTTTTTTCAGTGCCTTTGTAAGTCAATAAACGAACGGTTGAGAACTAGCTGTATTTATGCAGCACTCTGAAGCCCTGTTCATTTGCCTTTTTAACGGTAGGTTCACACGTCATTCAAAGTCATTTTGCTACTTGCTTTGAACATGTCTCGTGCGAATGAATTATGATTCAAGATATTCTCTGAGAGAGCCATCTGATGTAGTGGTTAAGATAGTAGGGTAGATATTGGGAGACCATTAATTCTATTCCGACCTTAGGCATGATATTAGTTGACCGACTTTGGCCCAGTCACTCTTTCTCAGTCCTAGAAACAAAGCAATGGGAAACCACTTCCAGAAAACAGTATGGAAGAGTCTAGGGCCCTAGGCCATTGCCAGAGTCAACAGACTGGAATCAAGTCAAAAAAATAAAGAAAAGAAAGGAAAATCATATTTGATAGGATGACAATTTAGGCAATAAACTATACTTAAATAAATCATGGTGTAGCATGTCATATGAACACAGACTAATACTTTTTCAAAAAATTATCAGGTTATGAACCTAGACTACTCTTCACATGTATGGCTATTTACAGCTTCTTTATGTGAGACACATATGAGCAGTACGTATATGCAATATCACATTTCAAATAGCCATTGCGGGAAAGCTCAGTTACATGCATAGCATTTTCTCTGTGTGTGTGTGTCTGTGTCTGTGTCTGTCTGTCTGTTTGTACCTGTGTTTCTGTGCATGTCTGTCTATTTATGGTTTGATTCAAATGTTTAAAGAATCAGGAACATTAAAAAGCAATTAATAACAAAAATGTGAAATGAGTTACTCAAATAAAAATTATTCTATTATTATGAACACTTACGAACCAAATTTGAGCAAATTACATATTGTAATATAAAAGCAGACAACAGAACAGATGCCCCTCTCCCCTGCAAAAAAGCTGTGAAAAAAGCAGAGTGGACTTCAAATAAGATCTATTCTGCCAATAGTAATAGACAGCTACAACTTACCAGCTCACTCTTTGATTCTAGATCTTTGCTCAATTCAGTAATAGATAATTTGGGAGAAGGGGCTTCTTGTTGACTGGATTCATCCATCATAGAGAAACAGCCTTGATCTGGATCAAGGCTTTGAGTCCCAGTTTTGAAAGCTTCTTCCATCTTTCCTATTTTCAGCAATATTAATCAGCCAGTTGATAGAAAGTTTAAAGTGTTTCTGCCCATCAGTCTTTAATTGACATAGCCTGCAATTAGCAATATAGAAACAATTGATCATTTATGGCACCCTAATTAAGATAAAAGGTCAGTACTTCTACAAAATGCAAATTGTAGAATAGTAATACTAAAGTCCATATATATTATGAATCAGATGTGTGACAATATCGAGAAGTCAGCTGTGATACTACACCCACAGCAGTGGTTTCAGATGAAATACCAGTGCGCCTGGGCAAAAGTGGGGTGTTTCATTCATTCTTTTAATTTTTATATTTAATTTTTATATATATATTTATATATATCTTATAAGATTTTCAACTTTCAACAACTTACAAATCAGAATGTCATAGATACTTGGTTAAATATTCTGTTGAAATCAATATTGTGCCTACAGCGATGTTGTAGCATATAAAACATGTAAACAATAAAATATCCATGATAAGCAAAATAATAGTAAAACATCCACAGTAAAAATAAATAAAAATAAAAAGTATAAGAAAATCTTTATTCACTGATGCCTTCAAACCCAAACGGCATCTGAGCAATCAACCAATCAACGTGAAAGAACACAGTTTTGAGGCTCCTTCATAGTAAAATCAAAGTGGGACCTAGTCTGCTTACAAAAAAAGCAACTTAAAGAACAGGCCAAGTAATGAGTCCAGGAGGACTAAGTCATCAACTCATTTCTGGAAGAATAGTACTTCCCCATCAAGAGAATAGTGTCCTTAAAGGAATTTAGAAATGGCTTTGGGGAAAATATGAAAGTCACTTAGTGGAGACAATAGGAATAATGAAAGAAAACAGAGTCACAGTGAAACAAGTGTGAGAAAGTAATTCAAAATAATCCCATTTTGATTTTCTCTGATGATAGATGGGAGACAGAGAAACTTGGGGAGGCTTTCAAGGACCTATTACTATATCCTATAAAAACCAATCACTTTCCTGACATCCTTGCGATGTCAGTTTCTTGACCTGACCTATCTTGAAGGACTGACACAGACTTTAACAGGCACCATGCACATCGGCACAACACCAACAGTATCTCCAGTCTGAGGTAGTGCTGTAACATTGGATATCATTGATGTATTAATATTACACCCTGAACTGATGGTCTCTACCAATGTAATGGAAAACCAGGAGGAAGAGAAGCTAACCCTGAGACACAACACAAGAGAGCACCACTGGGATGAACTCTCCTTCCATCCACAGCTGATTAGTATATAGTATAGTATAGTAACTCCAATCCACATAACTCAACAAAAAAGAGGTTTGCACTCCATAATTCATTCCACTTTGATAAAATACCATTAACGACTACTCTTTGAGCACTATGGTATTGGTTTTCATATGCGCAAATACATTCAAGGTATGATGATCTCAAAACAGAAGGATTTTATGACAAATTGACTGACTTAGATAGGATTTTGACAGGTACTGATGAAAAGGTGATTAAAAAATTGTATGGTTGTTTATTGGAAACTAAACTAGAGGAAGAACAAGTTAAAGAAACTATGATTGCTTGGGGGAAGAATTTTGGATATGGGATTGATCTAGAGAAATGGCAAAAATTGTGGATTCAAAACTGTTGAAATCAATATTGTGCCTACAGCATCTGCACATAAAAAAATGTGGGAAGTTGCCTCATTAAAAAAATGTAAGGATAATCTTCCCAATTGTTGATATCATACTGACAGATCTGTAGTTTCCCCAGATCCTTCTTTTCTCCCTTTCTAAAGATACAACAATCCCTCCGTCCCATCAATTTGTCTGACGCTTCTTCTGTTCTCTAGGGTTTCTCAAAGATACTTTGGAAGTGTTCAGCCAGATCCTGAGCAGGTTTTTCAGTACCCTAGGATAAGTATTCCTCTACGTTTATATCGTGTCCCATTCAATCTTGCCAGTTTCTCAGAGGCTGCCAGCCTACAAGCCCCTGCAGTTTACTTGGCAAGATTTTGTTTTCCGGAAGCGGGTTGGCTATTGCCTCCTTCCGATGCTTAAGAGATTTAAACAGGCTCAAGTGAACAGATATTTTCCTTCAGCGTGTTTTACACACATGGGATTTTACAGAACCGTTTCACTACGGAGCATAAGGGCTCGGCCTGCGCTTTAGAGGCCACTCAATCTAAGCACCCGCCGAGAGCAGCCATCCACGATTACAGCATCAACGCCGCGTAAAGTCCAGGAGTCTCCAACCTTGGCCGCTTTAAGCCTGCAGGACTTAACTCCCAGAATTCCCCAGCCAGCTGGCTGGGGAATTCTGGGAGTTGAAGTCCTCCAGGCTTAAAACGGCCAAGGTTGGAGACTCCTGGCGTAAACCAGCCAAGATAAGGATGTAAAGGCTGCGGAGGGCGGAAATAATACACGCCATACATAACAAAGATCGACACCGACCATTTTCCAGCCGCTTTAAAGGAAGGTCCGCTGTTTTTACGTGGAAGGGTCGGTTTCCAAGGGAGTCCCGGCTACCGTCAGACAGCTATTACTCTCCGGAGAAAGACTCGGGGTTCCCCCGTCCAGCCAAGGCTCCCTGACGCGACAGCGAGCCCTCCGGTTCCCTGTCCTTAAACGCGCAGAGAAGAAAGCGGACTCACCCAGCCACTTCCCGGGAAACCCTTTTTGACACTTCGGTTGTTCGTGGTAGCAATAGCGGCCGTCACACCCCCGGCCCCTTTCCGGGCTTCACTTCCGCCCGAAATCGAAGAAATGGCGCTTTCTTAAAGCGTCCACCCTGACTCGTATCAACCGAGCCTATTTTATATAGCACTCTCTTCTGGCAGCAACGAAAGATGCAAGTGTTTGCGTTGAAATTTGCCGTTGTCAATCCAGCATAGCCATTAAAGGCATTTTGAAAGACCGTTTTTGCAGTGCATTAAGTAGTACGGTACCTAAAGATGCATGCAATAGAAGGGGGCACGTCTTAGGCAACAAATCCTATTCTGTCTCCCTTAGGGATAACGTAAAACCATTGTCAGGATGCCACACTGTACTTAAAATTGTCTCAAAATATATCCCATTGCTTTCAATATATTTCAATTTCAGTTATTTCTCAAAATGGGAATGGACGGAAACAATGCCATAATTAATATATTGGCACATTTTAAATTTATAATTTAAAATTTATGTGCATAAACATAAATCACTATTTATACAAATGTTTACAACAAATTCAGCAAGCAATGTACATTTTTAAAATATTCTTCTTTTTCCTTGTTTTCTATTCAGTTGTTTTTTTTCCAGTAAATATACTGCTTTAGAAATGTTTGTTATGAATACAAAACGGTATCTATATATGACTAGTTTTTTATATTTCACACTGCTATCACATGAGGATCTCTTTATTGACTGATTCACTCCTGTTTCATATGACTTATTTTGTGATTCAGATCCTTACCAACCCAATTTAACATTTTCTTTTGTACTGGTCACTTGCTTTGGGAATTAATCCACATTTACCCAATCACTCTTGGTTACTCTTGAAGAAAGTTATCACCCACCTCTAACTATATCCATAGTTAGGATCTTCTACTGATATATAGGCATACTGAAACTATATTTAATCAAAATTTTGTATAAAAGCAATGTAATCTTGTAGCTTTTATTCCAGGTATTCTGGATGTAGGAGACCAGTAATCTGCTGGCTTTGGAATTAATAAAATAATCATTTGTATTCTCTCTGGTTGTTGATATAATATAGCATAATATACAGTATAGCATAATATAACAATAAATGAAAAATGTTGACAAGAAAAACACATGCATAAATCATTTGTACTTGTTTATTGTTTACTTATTATATAACAATATAAGAAATCACATACAGGTAGTGGTTGATTAAAAACCATTTTTTTAGTGATCACTGAAGTTACAACAGCACAGAAAAAAGTGACTTATGACTGGTTTTCACATTTACGACTGTTGCAGCATCCCCCTGACTGTGACAGCCTCAATTGACCAACTTTGGGTTGAAAAACAATAATCAAGAAACCATCAAGGTACCCGCTACCAACATTGGCAGGGCAAGCTATTGTATATAAGCTGGGAACAAATTCCATACTTACTAGTACTGATGATATTACTTAATTTATATTTTGACCAATATTTTAGACCCTGTGAGAATAATGCTAGAAAATTAGTTAGAAATTTAGTTCCACTGATAAAGCCAAGCTGCTATATTATAACAATTATGTTCTACAAAACAAATTTGATTCATTACTCGATTCTGTTAGGTCTGCAAAACTGTACCATTAGTTCACTTCTGCTGAAAATCTCTGATCCAGGTTGTCTGTAAGAGAGTTGCACAATATACACAAGATAGTAACTAATACAAGGTATTTCCTTGCTTTGAAATTAATTTTTAGCTTTTCAGTCAAGATACACAATTGAATGAAAGATTTGTAGAAAGCAAAGCTCAGATGAGATAACTACTTATCTGACAATGCAAAAATATTGTTTTTGCATGTATGATCCCTGAGAGAAATAATAATGCTATGTAAAAGCAATTATTTTCATATTTTCTAAGCATCCTAGACTGCAACATTCATGATTTCCAGCCAGCATGTAACACACATCTGGAGGATACTGTATGCGGGCAAGAACATCGATGGAACCTGAAATATCTAAAATTCTGCTTAACTAGGCAGCATTTTAATGACAATGGTGATTAAGTCTCTGTATAAGATAGACAAACATACCTGCTTCTTCATTCTCACTGTCTTCTTCCATTCCTTCTCCAACAGTAACATTTTCTTCTTGTTTAGGAAGGGCTTCATCATGAATCTAGCCTCATAATATAAAATATTGCAGCTATTTTTAGTAATAGTTGGTGACTTTTTCCCTTCCAGAATGCAAATATTTCATATATTTACTGTAAAATATACCGAATTTAGTGAGAAGTTTAAGTAATTACCTCACTAGATAGGGCCACAAACTTAACCTGCCCAACCATA